TGACGTTTTACCTACAGCACTGCTCCCCATCTTTACTACTAACGAGAGACGAAAGCTCCATAGGAGAGTGTCAGCAATTCCTTTCTTGCTGTGCTATTCGTGGCCTGCAGAGGCCCCAATAAAAGAAAAAATGCTCAGAGACATGCTTTATTCCATAAAGTACAAAATTTGCTTTTTTGACATAACATCCGATTGTTCACCAGCTAATTGCTCACAGCCAATTAGCTAAACCCTGCACTGCCCTTTGGCTAAGGGAGTGGGAGCCGGGACCTGTTAGACCCCAGGCAATGTAAGTGAATAAAAGGGTTTTTACCAAAGGGATCTTTAAGGATGTGTGCAAAGTAATGCAAAGTTGTAAACGCGGACCAATCGCCAGCAGAATGTACCAGCTGATTCCATTGGTTCCTGTGATGATTGCTCCACTTTTAGAAATTTGCACCACTATTCAGAACATGGCACAGATAAATCTAACCCATTTCACCACGGTTACTGCAGTACATTATAGTGGTTATGGTGTTTTTTACTTATTGAAAGGACAGCAGTATTTAAGCAGATTAATTCTTTTATTTTTATTTTTTGCAGTGCAAAGAATAGGTACATGCAGTCTCAAGGTGCCCCAGAAGCAGTCCTCAAGTATTTCCCTCGCTTAACATGCGGGGCTTCAATTATCAGGCACAATTTTATAATATAAGCAGATTTAACATTGTAGCTTCAGCTGAAGAATATACGATTATGTTATAGTCAAGTTTAGTCAGAGCTTAAGTAGGTTAGTGACAGCATGAGTAACCAAGCATATAAGAACATTAAACTATGCATGCATGTAACCTCAGTGAAAACAGTCCACGTTGATATAATTTGACCAGCTGGATAAGCACCGAGTCACTTATGCTGGCATTACAGTAGTGAGCACCACTGTCGTCCACTGGCTGTAACGTGTTGTCTGACGATCAAAGGAGCGAGTCAGGAGGCTTGTGAGTTCGTGACGGCGGTTGGTGGTCATGACTGGCAGCGGTATATCAGTCCTGAACTTTGGTTGGGGCATTCACCCCACCCCGGTCATCGGGAACAGGTAGGTGTAAACTGGAGGGGTTGCTGGGCTAGGTGTTGCTTGTCTCCACCTCCAGTCCTTGTCCGAGTCGGTGATAGCTGCAGTGAGGCAGTGTGCAGATGTGGCGTCCCGTTGTGAGTGAGGTAACCGCAGCCTCCCGCCCTGGGCTGGTGAGGAGGCCGACATCTTCTTGCCACGGACCCGGTAGCCCGGATGAGCCGGGTCTCTCCCGGGTGGGGAGCGGCGGTGGGTTCCGATGGTGTGTCGACGCCTATGGCGGTGGACCCTCCGTCGATGTGGGCGATGTCTTAGGGTCAAGCCCTTGGTGGCCCTCAGCCCAGGTAGGCCAGTGGCCGGAGCAACTGGGCCCGAGGGGGTCTCCTGCGCTACCCGGTTCGCAGCTCTCCGCGCCTTCACATGTGGTTGAGGCTGCAGCTGAGCTACTCGGTGCCCCAGAGCTCTCCAGAAGTGCCAAAAGTGCTCATCAATTTGCTGTATGAGTCACTCTACGGGGCAGCAAGGGGACAGTCCTGATTGCTCGCTTGTATCGTCTTGAGGATGAGACGCTGCCGCCATTTTGATGCAGGTTGCTGTGCTCCGAGTGAGTTGGCAGTTAGGCCTGTAGATTGCTTCTAGGCCCCGGTTTGGACTAAAAGGTAAGTGACGTGGTGGCTCGTCATGATGGTCCAGTGGGGACCGGGATAACCCCCGCCGGTCCAAGGTTGAGTAGGAGTGTTTCCAGAGGCTTGTGTTGCTTGTGAGCAGGGAGATCGGCCGCCTCTCCTCCGCTCTGTCACAGCAGGCTGCAGTGTTGGATCGCCGGTCCCCAGCGTGTATTAGACTTTGCTTAGGCTTCAGGTCGCTTTGCTGGACCCCCCTCAGTATTGTGGTTCTCGTTGGTGTGTTTAAATCGCTGGTTTACCAGGGTTAAAGTCCTAAATTCAGCCCAATTTGAAGGAGCTCAGGACACACACGTCTGCTCTGCTTGATAGCTAGGCTCCGCCCCCCCTTTTAAATTTTTATTAAAGGTCATTTACATACATATGAATACATGTATGATCTTAAATATATTTTTTTATTATTCTGGAAAGTGTGCGGGCTCCCATTAGTTCCTTCCTATTTCCTTGTCTCAACTTTGTGACAGGAATTCCTAAGGGGTGTTATAAGTAACTCATCTTGCGCCACTGGTGATGCCCATAATGGGTGAGTCTGCCCTAAAAGCTGGTCGGTCCTGAAATTAGGTGGGTCTGCTCACTGAAGGGGTCGTGTAAGCCTGGCAACAGTGCAAGCGCCTCATTATCATCAAATGCTGTGCTGCCTGAGGAACAAAATCAGGATGGCAAGACAGGATTCCATAATCGGGATTGTCCTGCCAAAAGGGATTGAATTTCAGCTGTATTCATGAAAATGCCAAGCATGCAATCAAAATACAGGTTCAATTTTTTATTTTTTTTCATTCTTCTGTTTTTCCACAAGCTTGCATTATTTGCTTTTTGTAAAATGTCATTTTCTCTCTGAAATAAAATGCATTACTGCCAATTCTCATAGCAATGCCAGCAATCTTATATGGCTGCTTCATATGAAAGCATTTTTTATTTGGGGCAGAAATGTACAAAATTGAGCTTGTTAAGCTTAAAGATGAGCTGTCATTTCTCAGGATTCTGTTTACTTATATTCAGTAACAATATACTTATATTTATTAAATACATATTTGTGAGATGTGAAAACAAAAATTTGATCTAGAAATACACACTTCTTTTTCCTTTTAATGGAGCTTCTCTATATTGGCTCCTTGTCAATTATTGTTAAATCCTTTGCACCGGGGCAGTCAGCATAGAGAAAGCCTACAGATAAGAGGAGAAAGGAAACCATGTTAGTCTTGAAATGTGAATAAATACCTGATTATGAGGGTACAGGTCCTACTGGGGTGCCTGGATAAAGACCTTGTGGCCAAAACATAACTCATTTATCTGACACCATAAATAATAAATAACCTTATTGAGAGTGGGACTGTGCTTGATTCCTTCTCTATTAAATCTTTAATATAGGTATATTTCCTCTGTATCAATGATGGCTAAACTTGACACCTGTAGATGCAGTTGTTACTGCTATGCCGATACAGGAAAAGTCAAACTATATAAAATACAAAATTCCTTCTATATATTTGCTAGGAGTTTGTCTATTGCAGGTGTAGGCAACCTTCGGCACTCCAGATGTGTGGACTACATCACCCATAATGCTGGCAAAGCGTCATGGGAGGTGTAGTCCAAAACATCTGGAGTGCCGAAGGTTGCCTATGCCTGGTCTATTGTAATGTATGGTTAATGTATGCTGTCTAATTAGGCACAGTGTTCATATTAGGCATGGATAGTCCACCTTAAAGTTGCCCGTCATAAATTATATATTCTTGTGAAGATTTCTTTCCCCTCTATTAAGATATCTGAAAAAGGCTGGATCAAAGCTACAAGCAGCCTTGTAACCCCCAAATTATGTGCACTCGTATATTTCTAGCATGCCAGTGGATGTTGCAGAATATTGATGTTTCAGCAGTCTGTGGACAAGGCCAGATTAAGAGCCCAGTGGGCCTGGTGCTGGCAATTCTGAGGGGCCCAAGTACAGAATCTTATCGACCAAAAACACTATAACAGTCATACCTCTCAAGCATTATGTATCTGGTGGAGATGTTGCCGGAAGGAAACACATAGGATGCAGCTATAAGAAAACTCAGATTCTCTTAAAATATGCTAATCTCTCTCTAATTAATTCTTTCATCTTTCAAGTAAATCCATACACCCTAACAGCAGTGTCCAGTGAAGCCGGAAGTCAATGGGCGGTGTAAAAGGGTGGACCACTGATGCGGATCATGTAACCAGAAAGGGACAAACATGCCCAAAAAGGAGGCATGTCTGCCCAAAGAATTGGAAGGCTAGCCTGGCATGAATGCATGTCAGGCTGCCTGCCGATCATACATGCTGGCCCACAGCATCCTAAACTTGGCATAAATGCGTCTAATGATGCGCTCGCTCCATGCTTTCTAAGGGCTGTCCCCTAGCACTGGCATATCTACTTATCTCCTTATCTTCTTACTAGCAGGCACAAACTACTGGTATACAGTCTGAGACAGAGAAAAGGTGGATGTAGTGAGTGTAGAAGAAAGGGAACATGCCACAGTGTTAGAGAGATCAAAGTCAGCATTACCTTAACTCATTTCATTTCAACTAGGCCACACAAGTTTTGTTTCCATATATCCCTCTTAAGTTTCCATACTTAAGCAAGAGTATGTGAAGAGTAGTTAGGGTTGCCACCTTTCTTGGAAAAAACACAGGCCTTACTAATTTTCATAACTAATTAGGTATGCATGACATCACATACAAATCACAAGGAGTGACATTAGCGAAAATTCTGTAAAATCACCAAAAAACTACTTACAGTTTAATATATGCTGTATAGATGGATTGCTCCCAGTGTCTCTCTGTGTCCCTGTGTCTCCCAGTGTCCCCATGTCACCCAGTGTCCCCTAGTGTCTGTGTCCCCACGTCACTAGGGGACACTGTGAGACATGGGGACACTGAGACTATGTATCACAGTGCCCTTATGTATCACAGTGTCTTAGTGCCCCATGTCTCCCAGTGTCCCCATGTCGCCCAGTGTCCCGTAGGGTAGGTGTCCCCATATCTCCTAGTGTCCCCATTTCATTAGGGGACACTGAGAGACATGGGGACTTTGAGACACTTGGGGACACTGAGACGCTTGGGGACACTGGGAGACATGTGGACAATGGAAGACATAGGGATACTGAGACACTGGGAGACATGGGTACTCTTAGATACCAGGGACATTGGCTGGGAGACAATCAATGGGCCTATTCCATGGGCATGGAGCTGCAGCTCTTTCAGCCCCTGTGTTAATCGGGCCTTGTCTATGGATGAAATATTTTCGGCCGTTACACCACTCTCTGTTATCCACTGCTCAGCATTACACTGAACCTAGGATTTCTGTTATATCAATTTGGAAGAGTGGATGAAATATTTTATTGGCTTGATGCCTGTTGGGAGGCACCTAAAAGCTAAAAACTAATAAGAACTGTTATTGATGTACTGTAAGCAAACATGAATTGATTACATGTGAGTGCAAAACCATTTTTTTCAATTAAAACTATTTTACCAGTAATATTTTCTCCAATCAAGTCACAACAGCAGCCAGGTCACAATGCTGAAACCACAAGGCTGTAACAGTCACCTCTTACTATTTGTCGTAATATGAAATATTTTCTCTGACCTCATTCAGTGGAACAATTTTATTAGCAATCTAAGGCACATATAAGACATTCATTGTTCATAGTCGAAAATATGCATAGTATTCACGCTATCTTATATTTTATCAACTAAAATGGTTTGGATCTATTTAAAAAGGAAATATTTAAAGAAACTGTGATAATAGAAACATAATAAGAAAAATGTGATACCTCACTTGAGGGCTTTAAATTTATCTGATCAATTATTATTGCATATTATGCATGTACTGTATGTAGATATATGTGTGTGTGTATCTAGCAGTAAACTATCAGGTAATTCCCTAAAATGAGAATTGAAAGTGAAATTCAGAATTAAGGCCAGAGAAGCTGAATTGGAAGCATAGCTGACTTGGAGAATCTTTCCAGTTTGGCTATTTTAGCCTTAACTTTGAAATTCACTTTAAATGAACTAATTAGCGAATAAGCCTCCTAGTGTTAGAACGTAGATGAGTGCCAAATGAATCCCTCCAACTAACAGTGACAATATTTAAGAGGCATTTAATGCAACACTGTTGTGATGAGTTAAATCCAAGGCACGGATCATTACTCTCCCTATTACACTGCCCTGGAGTGTATTCCTGTTTCCTCATTGGGATAACGCTACAATATAGGACATAATTCTACTACGGATATTTTGTACGTGTGGTCACAGTTCATTTATTCCTGATTTCTAAATAATAACGTTCTGCAATTACTGGGTATGGAATGGAGAAACAGGATACAAAGGATGTAAGCTGGTAGCTAGAATAGATAAATTGGTTCCTTTGACAGCATTGTATAACACTTTCACATTTTGCTTCTAGGACAGTGTTTCAGGGCATCACGGAGAGCATCGAGAACGCGATCCACATTGGTTTTGGTTGAATTGTATCCCATTAGTCCAATACGGAGAACCTGTGAAGCAGAAATAAGGCAGATTCATGTAATAAAAGTTTCCGTTTCAGGAATTATACATTTAGAAGTTAATTCTCTAAACATGAACTTTGTAAGATTGTAGAGATGTGACAATGGAATTGCAAATTTTAGAAAAAAAAATTGAATTTGTCACAATAGCTTGTTTAATAAATAAAGGAATAAAGCCTGCCATTTTATCACACACTGAGCTATGAACCTAGCATATAGTACAATATGGTGACAAAGCACAGATAAGCATAATGTTTTAAATATTTTATTTTTTTAAACCACATGGGCTATGATCCACAAGGACCAGTGACCAGAAACCAACCATAGACTGCAGTTTGACCTTGTGGGTCTCATCAGCATGGGTCTGGTCTTGTTTGGAAGTTTAAGTTTCTCTGAGAGCATATATACAGGGCCAGCCCATCAACAGACCGTTCTGGAGCCATGGCTCCAGGTGGCACTCTGACAGGGGCAGCATTTTGCCGCTCCTGTCATAATCTAAAACAAGATTTCCCACCGAACGAGTTGGGAACCTGTGTGAGGGTCCATCGGATGGCCCATGCCCTTAGGGCATATGCAGTGGACATATGCAATGAGGGGCCCAGTCGTGCGCTGTGGCACTTTAAAAAGCGCGACCGAGACCCTTCTATCATGCACAGAGAGCTGGGAGGAAGTGACAGCGTATCACTTCCTCCCAGCTCACTCACACAGCCGCACAGGAGGGGGAGGAGGAGGAAGCCGCGAGGATGGGGCTGGATAGGGAGAGCAGGCCCCCAACTCCCACCAGCCACAGCCAGCAGAAGGTAAGAACCTGCTGGGTGGCTTAATTTTTTTAATGTGTGTGTGTGAATCTGTTTGTATATGTGTAATGTATGTATATCTGTATGTAGTGTGGGTATCTGTGTGTTTTTGTGTATGTATCTGTGTGTTTGCAAGTGTGTATGTGTAGTGTGTGTATCTGTGTGTGTGTTTGTACGTGTGTGTATGTGTGTATCTGTTTGTATGAGTGTAATGTGTGTGTAGCTGTGTTTGTATAGTGTGTGTATCTGTATCTGTGTAGTGTGTGTTCTGTATGTAGTGTGGGTATCTGTGTGTTTGTATGTGTGTTTATGTATGTGTATTGTGTGTGTGTGTGTAGTTTGTGTATACTGTATGTGTGTAATGTGTATCTGTATGTCTGTGTATCTGCATGTGTGGCAGTGTGTGTGTCTGTATGTGTATCAGTAGGCGTATCAGTGTGTCTATACATCTGTATGTTTGTCAGTATCTGCACGTGTGTCCGTTTTTGATACATATACTGACACACATACAGTTGACACATGTCATCCACAGCACACTCACATAGAGACACTACGATTGCCGAAGCATATGCTTTTGTGGGGGGGTTTTGGGGGTGAGGAATGGGGTGGGAAAGCATTTCATACTTGGCCAGAATGTCTTGGGCCGGCCCTGCATATATAGCTACACCAAAAAGATTGTGGTGACACCAAACAATAATTACAAATAGTTACATAGTTCCATTGGCTGAAAAGAGACACGTGTCCATCAAGTTCAGCCTTCCTCACATATGTTTTTTGCTGTTGATCCAAATGAAGGCAACAAAAACAGTTTGAAGCACTTTAAGTTTTGCAACAACTAGGAAACAAAATTCCCTCTTGACCCTAGAATGGCAGTCAGATTTATCCTTGGATCAAGAAGCTATTACCCTACAGTTGAATTGCTATTATTACTAGTATTCCTATACTATGCATATTTTTTTTTTTTGCCACAAGTGAAGGCATTGTTCCATGAACACTGCTAAATATTACACTTCCAGAATATATTATATAGCTCTGAAATTTGGACTTTTAAAAAATGAAAAAATCAGGACACACTTTTCACACTTGAAGCACTTTAGCAAGCTGAAGTGCTTTATGTGTTTTAAGTGTTCCTTTAATTGCATTATATTGTCTGTGCATCCCAGGACATCGTGGAAAACAAGAATATTCTTGGTGCATTAGAAAACCAGTTTGTAAATTAAAAAAAAATAATAATAACAAACTAATTACAATACCACCACTCTTTTGATTTTTGTTGTCCTTGTTTCTCTCCTACACTTTTGTTTACCTTTCCACTGGAGGGTCCCAGCCCACCCGTGATTTCGATGCTGTGGTTCTTCATGAGGTACGTTATGATATCTCTCCATTCGTAGCCCTCTGGCACACTAATAGTTGTGACAGTAGGGAGACGCAGGGCCTATGGTAAGAATTGATTCATGTCAGGAAAATATATATATAATATTTTTTTTTTCTTGCTGTGACAATTCTACAAGAAGTAAAATAATTATCTAATAGGGTTTCTACGCTCAGATCACATAAACATATTTGGGCATGTTGGGACTTGGTATGAGTTGTTAGCTTTAGATAAAATAATTGTTTTGCGCATACAATTAGTCAAATCCTCTTAATGTTTCCATCTCACATCTCAGTTCTCTAAGGAAGTAGTAAATGAGAGGAATATATTTGTGATAACGCCAGGGTAAGATTTCCTTGTCTTCCATGGCATCTAAATACTGGTTCTCTACCTCTAGGTTGTATGTTGTGTGACTAGATGTTTTTTTTTTTTTAACCAAAGATACATGTGATGGGTGAAAGGTATTTTAATGCATCCCTGCAGTTTAATTTTTCATAAAGGTTGACAAGGAGAAATGTAATATTGTTCAATGCATGCCCTAAACAAGAGGACATGTGCCTACATTGTCTAATGGAATTAGGATTAGGTTAAATATTTTTTAAAGCAGTCCTCGGGGTTTACAAACAGAGTAAATGTAATATCATCTCCTTTTAACATAGGTAGGTCTGTTACTCATTTATGTTCATTCAGATGCCTGAATAGCAGTTGGGATATTGTCAAGCCCTGGCCTCATACATTCCTCGTCTTCTCTACGTGTAGGTGATATTATAATGTTATTGTGGTTATGGTCATTTTCCATAGTTGTTGTGTGTGCAGTCAGTAGGATATTGGGTAGATCTAGGTTATTGAGAGATAAAGTTAAAGAATTACTCCAAGCATTATAACCACTAAAGCGGTTATGAAGCCAGGAGAACCCTGGCCCCGTTTCTCAGTAATGGGGTAAACCATTTTCAAATGGTTTGCCCTGTTACTTGGGTCCAGATAATAAGAGATCCTTTATTTGTGCCCTATACCTTTCTACTAAAGACAACTAAAATTAGTGCTTTCTACTAATGTATGTGATTTACAAACTTCACAACAGCAATCAGAAATAGAAACAACCTTTTTCCTTTGTCCAAGCAATGCAAATCATGTTTACTAGAATATCCTCCATCATTACTAATATTAAGCTTTTTTCATTGTTACCTACTACTGCCGATAACAATGTGTTTAACTTGTCGTGGTAGTGTATATCATTGCATGCCTATATAACATTGATTGCTGCAGAATGTCTTTATGTATATCCTATGTTGTGTGATCTAGTCTTCACTAGTGGTATTGCTGTATGTATTTGTGCACGAGGATATGGAAAGGGCTGCACTAGTTTAAACATTTTAATATTAATCTATCTAGCTCTCTCATTCTTTTATTTATTTATTGAAAGTTTCATCATTAACATCACTTACTGGATCCTTCACAAAAAGCTTTAGACCTAGAGCCTCCAAACCTTTGTGCAGCCTTAAAGTATTCTCACGATGCATGTTCCAGGAATTCTCTAAGCCCTAGAAATGAGATACAAATATTAATTTACAAACTGCATGTTCTTTGCAACAGTTTTTCTCTAATTGTATACAATCCTGAGTTACATTCTGGTGAGCATGTTAACAAGGTACAAACCTGAACAGTCACAGTATATAGTAGTCACCTGAAAGTGTGGAATTATGGGGCCGTGGTAGTTGCCTCTAGTCATCACCAAAGTGCTTTTTTTTTTTTTTATTAAACTCGGTGGACACACTAAATAGTAGTTGTTCCCTACTTTACACAGGTTCAGCTCAGACAGAAATAAGCGGGCTCAGCAGTACACACTTCTGATTTTTTTCTCATTATATATTTCACCAGAAATATGGGGAATACCACACAAGAAATGTAGATCTTTCCTGTAGCTCACTTTCACAAAGTGAATATAATTTAATTATAACTCATTGTCTGAGTGCACTGCCCAGCAGCACTATGGGAAATGTTGATATGGATATGCCACACTGTGTGAAAGATAAGTCAGAGGGACTATAACAGCAGTCAAATATTATTATAAGGTCCAGGCATTTCAACACTTCAGATAGGCATATTAATTGGAACTCAAATGTTCAGCAGCTACATTTCAACCAAAGCTGAAGTTTTTAAAGCTAACACACATATGAAGTGAACAATATTTAGGCAAATAATATTGTTTTTATTTATTTTGCAATCTGTATCTAGGGGCTTGGTGTAGGTCCTTGCACCCAAGTCTCTGTATATGTATGCATGCAGTTCCTGGTTTGGATTTTGAAATATTAGTATACTGTCCAGATTTGACTTTTTCAACCATACATTTTGTGAAACCCATTTATTTATCCATTTATCTTTTTGAGAAACCCATTTAGTTATTCTCAGAAAGCAAATTTGGTTTCAAACAGATTTGCACTTTTATTTGACTATCATTCAGTTGAATTTTAAAAGTTTTATTAAAGTTCAAATATGCCTATTTGCAAATTCCCCAATTAAAACCAAACTGCAAATATTAATATTAACATTGCTATTAGTTATTAAGTACCAACATTTTACGCAGTGCTGGACAGTGGGATCACAAGAAATAACATTTTACTACATGACAGGAGGCTTCCTATTTTGCATAATTTTCTTTACTTATGCAGCACAAGTCAATCATAAACTTAGACCAATCAAAAACAAGTAACATGTTCCACATAAAGCCCTGACAGGCATAACTCCTCCTTTTTCTTTGCTGCTCCAGCTAGGCACAGGTCAGGGTATTTTGTTTTGTGATATTTTCTTAATTATTTGACTTATTTTTACTAATATTGTATATACTCTTTTGATTTATTCTCTATTCCCTTTTCTACTCCCTTCCCTGTCTTTACCTCCCTTCTTACATTGCCTTAAATACTAGTTTTATGCATCCCATAGCCTTTCCCTCCTGGTCTGAGACCCTGGCTCTCTGACCGAGGGATTTATCTATCTCTCATTTGCACGATCGTGGCCGTTGCTGTTTTTGGCAGGTGTTTTTTGGCAGGGCTGGTCGGCAGCAGGGCTGAGACACCAGCTGTTTCTGGTCCACAGGCCCCAGAACACAGTCCACACATTCCTTCTTCCCTTCATCGCGAACCAACTTCCATTACAGGGGCTTTCGGGGATGAGGTCGTGGACCGTTGGCAGACTGTCCCTTTTATCACAGAATTGGGAAGCGATCTCTACGGACACTTGGATTCTCCAAACGGTCAAAGGGTACTGTGACGGACCGCTGGCACTCCGACTGAGTACCTCCGCCAATCGATGCTCTTAGTGTTCGCTGAGGACTCCAAGCACTCCCACCGACACCATCAGCACTGCAGACCCCACTAACAGCGATGCAGCTACGCCGGGGTCTCGCTGTCTCCACCCACCCTGCACCCAAGGCCAGGATCCAGCTTCCAGTGGGTGAACCTCTCTTTCCCCAGAGAGCAGGAACAGGAACAAGCTCTTAGCAGAGCTTAGTGATCATACCCTGGGGAGTATAATGATTATAGCAATCCCCAGAGTGTAGTTCTCCAATCCTCCAAAGATGAGCCAATGCTTCAAGAAAGGTACAAGATGATCTAATTTTAATGACCACACACTGGCTTTTATGCAAGTCCCCATGCAATCATTTACAGGAAAACCGTAAATCACACCCACCAACATACAATCCCTCCCCTCTGCCTGTGACACAATTACTGAACACAATGGGTTAATGTAATTTATCACAGGCAGGAAAAATACACTTTTTTTACACATATACTGTAACTTTAAAAATATGCATCATATTCACATACATATTCAGAATCAGCATACTTTAAATATAAACATAACCAAAAATCACGCAAATCCTTCCATTAGTTCAAAAGTTAGTCGGAAGTCCTTTGTGACCAAATGAAGCATGGCTTTTCTGCCCAAAACCATTTCCACAGAGTCTTCTCTCCTGGAGATAATTGGGAAGTAATCCAATTATCTCCAAGGACAGAGGCAAAACTCCACTGAACACATGGCAGCAAAAGTCAATAAAATACATAAAACTATATAACTGTGCAGCCATTGCATAAAACAGGTACATTCAGCATATCCCCAGATAGCTCAGATCTGAGCGCACATTATTACTGAATGGCGGTCAGATCACACACATACAGTTCAATTGCCATGGAGCCAAAGTCTTTCCCATAGTCTTTCATTATACAAATGGGCTCCATGGCATAGCTATCTGGGGTATCACCACTCAAACAGGACAAGCACCGAATGACCCAGCTTTCGTGTCTTTGCAGGGGAAAATCCAGTGTTTCAACATGGGGCCATAGTCTAAAGGCAAGAGGCTGACAAGTAGTCCTCTCCAGTCACAACTGGCGAGGTTAATTTAGCCACCGGTTCAATACGGCCCGCCACCTCCCCTTCGAACGTAGGTGGAAAACAAAAGCCTAATAGAGGAGGAGATTCAAAGGTGATGTACAATTCACTTCAGACAACACCGGATTTTTAAGCAATAACTTTGTGGTCAAGAAAGAGACGGGAGACTATCGTCCCGTCATCAACTTACGTCAACCCTACAAATTTGTGGTATATCATCACTTCAAGATAGAAGGCATCCATCTGTTACTGGACCTACTCCTCGCAGACAATTGGTTCACTCATCTGGACGCATACCTGTCCGTGCCAATCGCACCAGAGAGCCGTCCATTCCACGTGTTTCACAAAATTACTGAAGCCAGTCATGGCATGCCTTCGAGCCAAAGGTATACGATGCCTTATCTTCTTAAACGACATATTGATATTCTGCGAGTCTGCATCCAGACTACTCTCTCAAACGTGATTTATAGTAAAATTTCTGGAACCATTGGGGTTTGTAGTGAACAGAGAGAAATCGGCTCTGTCTCCTTCCCAAGTAGTACAGTTTCTCGTGTTCGAAATAGATTCATCAAAGTGAATCCTACGCCTCCCTACTTCAAAAGTGGCCTCGATTCCCAAAGAGATACGTTGGATACTCCGCAAAGACTCAATCCCCCTTCGGCTCCTCGTCCAAGTAGTGGGACTCCTTTCCTCGTCGATACAGGATCCCGGGTCCTCTACATTACCGGGCTATGCAGCAGCTAAAGGCACATTACTTGCGGTCAGGACACTCATACGACCACTGGGTGCAGGTTTCCCCAGAAGTACAGAGAGAACTTCGTTGGTGGTTCCTACATATGCAAGCCTGGAACGGCAGAGCCATCTTTGGATTCACACTGGATTTCATAGTGGAGTCGGATGCCAGCCTCTGGGTCTGGGGAGCACACTGCGCACACGCCTCCACAGGGGGCCCATGGTTAGAGAAAGAGACGAGCCTTCACATAAACTGCCTGGAACTGATTGCAGGCTAATTTGCAATCCACAGTATCGCACAAACATGTCTGATTACTGTATCCTCCTCTGCATATCTTGGCGGTTCAATATATAAACCGCCTCGGCGGAGCCCGCTCTCGTGCTCTGACAGAAGCAACAAAGGACATTTATTGTTTTTGCCTTCCTCGCAACATCACTCTCCGGGCAGAATATCTTCCGGGAATCACCGACCTCACAGCGGACTGTTTTTTTCGCCCCTGGAGGGAAAGCAGTGACTGGCGCCTGGACCCCTCGGTGTTTGCCACAGTGCAAAGGATCAGAGGTCCATTCCACACAGATCTCTTCACCTCACAAATGAACAAACAGCTCTCAAGATACAACAGCTGGCTTCCAGACCCAGAAGCAGTCGACACGTTTCTACAACCTTGGCCAGCGCAGGATGCATGGACATTCCCACTTTTCTCAATGTTGGTAATAGTCCTTCATTGTCTTCGCATCACAAGGACATCTTTGGTGCTCATCGCACCATTATGGCAGCGCCAGGCATGGTTTCCAGACCTACTGGCGTTATCTCAGAAGCATCCGATACTCTTACCACCGTTACCTCTCCTCCTCATGAACCCGCAGGGAGAACCTCATCCGCTAATCCTTCAGGAATGATTGGAACTGGTGGCCTGAAGTCTTTCAGAGGAACCTGGTCCGTCGATGGACTATCGCAATCAACTAGATCCTTCTATAGGACTACTGGGCACTAGGGACCAGACACATCTATATATCCACATGGAACACTTGGAGTAGTTGGTATTTTGAAAGGAACCAAGATCCCTTTACAGCACCCGTCACGGTAATATTAAACTTTTTATCACACCTTTTCACGTCGGGTCGCTCATACCGCTCTATCAACGTAGTACGTTCAGCGATCTCAGAGGCTCACATTCCACTCCAGGGTATCCCAGTGGGGCAGGATTCTCTGGTATGTCGTTTATTATGAGGTATCAAATTAACCAGAACCCCAGCACCAAACTATACTTGGTTATGAGATGTGAACTTAGTTCTTTCGATTTCTTCGGGATTGGCCGGAGAACTCAGCCCTTTCGCTTAGACAACTCTCGGCCAAACTCACACTACTTTTGTGACTCGTTTCGTTCCGTGGGTTTCAGACATTTCAGCCTTCGACGTGTACGGTTTTTCGGTATCTCCAGAGGGGGTTTCCTTCACGATCTCGTGACGGACTAAGACGTACTCTACATCCGTATCATATCCTTTCTTAACACTTTATTACGTTACGTGGAAGTTACTTCACCTTCGCAATCGGGTCAACTTCTCGTTTCTTATACCAAACCATACAAACCTGTTATGACTACCATGTTGACTTTTGTCCGTGGCGGGTGTGGAGACTTGTTTCGGCGCTCACTCGGCGTTCACGGCAGGGGCCTCCCTGGCCGATATTCTCATGCCGCGGATTGGGCACGGGAAAATACTTTCAGAGTCTTTTATTTCTGTCAGATTTCACATGCATCCTTTGCTTTTCTTCCACAGTGTTAAAAATGCAAAATAGGAAGTTTCCTGTCATATAGTAAAATTTTAGATTATGCTAACGTAGTGTACCTATAATCTTAATTTTAATAATGACAGGAGGCAAGTATTTTCCCACCCTGGGATTCCCACCCCTTTTACCTATTGTACTTTTATCTATTTGTTTTTCTAATTTACTGTGATTCACTTGGTTGTTGTAGTCTAGATTGATTTCGTATTTTCAGGGCTGATATAATCTTCATATCTTTTGACATGGAATAGATTTGTGGAATTTCTCTAATTAATATATTTAATATGTTTAACTGTAAGTACACCTATAGACTTAATATAACTTAATAATGATAGATGGACAAACAGTTTACTGCCATCACCTTTCACTTGTTTCTGATTTTTTTCAGTGTGACCTTCATCGGCGGTCTCGGGATTGGACAAATTGGATTAATTTACTCTTCAGCTCTACCTGCGATTGCCAAGTTTCTTCAATATGTTCGCTATGTTTCCTGATGTTATGTTAGACTATTATTCGCACCAAAGAAAGAGGAGGAGCTATGCCTGTCAGGGCTTTATGTGTAAAGAAAGTTATATAGAATACTTGCCTCCTGTCATTATTAAGATTATAGGTACACTACATTAGCATAATCTACAATTATTTTTCACAACAAATTTACAATCTAAAGCAACTGAATCCCCTGCATTTATTTGATCTGATGCGTCAGACACAGCCCAGGAAATTTTACCCATAAGCAAAAACCAATCCAATTCTACGTCTCCTTATATTTAGCAGTGGTATTGTAATATTGTAATGACACCAATTCCCTAACTCCCCTCAAATCCCCTATTACTTTAGTGGCATCTTTTTCTTTTTTGCTATATCTGTAACAATTTGCTAGAGACTTTTTTCCCCCATCAAATTAATCTGACTGCAGCAATGAAATTTATTTTTATCTCAATTATGTCTCAATGTGGTTGATAGTGAAAAAGTGAACAGAGTAATTTTTATAAGCCAAATGGAAGACAATTAAATAAAAAGTGGCATTTGGTTAATAGACTACTCAGTTCTCAGTGACAGCATGCTGTTAAATTTAGTGGAAAAGCTCTTTCTGAAGTTATGGTTGAGAATCCAACATTGCGAGAAATTGGATAGATATTCAGCTTAGTGGTCGTGTGTTACAAATACCCCTTTTGCTTCAGAATGTAAACTTCCAAGAGCAGATGCCTATTTAAATTTTATTTTGGGCATAGTATAATGCAGATAATAAAATGTTCTTTCAGAGTGTGCAATACTGCAGAATGTAATATATATGTTAAGGTAGCTCAGGCTAAAATAACTATTGTCACTACTGAGTTGATTCATTTTTACAAATCAGCAATTTTGGCCTACAGTTTTAAACGTGTTTTTCACTTAACCACATAAATCCCTGCATGTATGAATCAAACCCACCTGTTCAGCCAGTATTGCTAGTCCCTCTCTCAGTGTGAAGAAGTTGGTTATTGGTCCTGTGTGGTGGTACCTAAAAAAAAAACCAGGAATATAGGACTGTTATACAGGATTGAATCCTTCATCTATCTTTTCTTTTCAGTTACTACATTTATTTTACTACTGTTTAAAGCATGGGTGTACAACCTTTTGGCTTCCCTTGGCCGCATTGAGCGAAGAGGAATTGCCTTGGGCCACACATAAAACCTATAATACAATTAATTTATGTAATACAACTTTAAAACTTTTCTTAAATTTTGATATTTCAATTTTTTAGTAGATAACTCCCTTATTTGTTATCCTTATGTGGGATTGCCATATATAAGGATACCAAATTAGGGAGCTCTCTACTATACATATACACATGTATATGCATATGCACATATAACCACAGATATACACACAAACACACACAATTGCATACACACAAAATCACAAACCTATACACACATAATCACAGACACACATACAATCACAGACCTATGCGCACAATCACAAATATAAACACATTTACAGACCCACACGTATAATCACAGACCTATACACAGCCAAATACACACACATAATCACAGATGTACACAGACATACACATACAATCACAGACCCACACACACTCACAAACAATCCCGGACCTATACACACAATTACAAATATACACACACACAATCACAGACCTACACACACATACAGTCACAGACCTATATATATAGTAACATACATACATACACACACACATAATCACAGACCCACACACACACAGATAAACACACACACAATCATATACATACACAAACAATCACAGACCTCTACACACAATCACAAACCCACACAAAAAATCCGACACATACACACACATACAATTACATACCTATACACACAATCACATACATGCACACAAAAAAATCAGACCCATACGCACACATACAATTACATACCTATACACACAATCACATACATTCACACCCATAATCACAGACACCCCCACAAACACACTACATGATATATATTTATACATACATACATACACACACACACACGCTCAATACAAACAAGTGCACCGACAGACAAGCATACAAGCTCACTCGCAAGCAGGCACATACACACAAAGTCACTGACAAACTGAAGCTTACCTGGCACTGAAGATTGTGGAAGTTATTTTTGACCTCTTCCTGCTTGAATGTGGGGGTGGAGCTTGTGTCTGAGGGCGGGACTTGTGTGTGGGAGGCGGGACTTGCATGCAAGGGCGGGATTTGCATGCAAGAGGCGGGGCTTGGGCACAGAATTGTCAAGAATTGTTAAGAGAGCCTCATGGGTCTCCCTCCGGCCGCCACCACACTAAACGTGGCTGCAGCAGCCTGCAGCACCTCTATCTTCAATCCCCTCAGACTGACACAGGCTGTCACAGTCCCAGGGGAAAATAATTTAAATAATTTAAATGTCTTTTTTAATGATTAGAGCTGTCTGCCAGGTGCCGTGCCAGTCCAGCGCTGCCCTCGCCACCCAGACTGCAACCGGGCCGCACTGCCAGTGGTCCTGGGCCGCAGGTTGGACACCCCTGGTTTAAAGGATCACTCAAAGCACCATAACCACTACAGCCTTCTACATGTCACAGTAATGTGTCCAACAATTTTAGCAGGGTAATGCAGGTTCTTGCTTAATGGTTTAGAGCATCACAGTGTTGAACACAGACCTAAAACGTTTTGCCAAGGTCCTTGCTCTGCGTCTACAACCTCTCATACCAGCTTTGGTCCATCCAGATGAGGTTGGTTTTGTTAAGGGTTATTAATTTAATCCATATGACAAAAATTTTACCAGTTGCAATGGGACACTACAGTGATGTGCCTTATCCCTCCCCCCCATCCCCCGTCCTGTAAGTCTGGAGCCTTTTCTCAGCGCAGTAAGAGCTTATCATGTGCTCATAGGCATCAGATACTCTAACATACAAAATAAAGTCGCGGCATGTGCGGATAACCTGCTCTTTACCTTTACTAACCCAGTATGCTATTACCAGCACTATTACACCAATTAGAGCAATTTGCTTTCATCTAAAAAATCAGGAATACTTAATCGGAAATATTAAATCTCTCTATTACCAGCTCACTCTGCCATTCGCTCTAGAGCAAGTTTCCTTTCAAATGGGTTAAGGACTCCATTGTCTATCTGTGTCCAAAAACATTTGATATTAACTTTATGCCACTCCTACAACAGATTTCTAGAGACTTTCAGAACTGGGCTCTGCCACAAATAACATGGCTAGGTAGGATGCAATTTCTCAAGATGAATATGAATATCCTCCCTCAAATGTTATACCAGACGTTATCTTTAACAATACCATCCCTTTTTTTTTTAAATCTTTTTGAAGCACCTTCATCTCATATGTCGGGAACAAATCTAAAGCAAGACTAAAGTTTAGTATTCTTATACAACCTAAAAGTGTGTGGGGGGGAGAACTGGGATTAATTGATATTTCCCAGTACAACAAAGTTATCCACCTTCAATGCGTCATTGAATGGTCCATCTCCCCTCCACAGAAATGATGGATTCAAATAGAATCTAATGCCGTGGGTCTTTCACCCTAGGCTCTTCCATGGCTGCCTCCACATCCACAGGTGAAATCTGCAGGGAACCATGCTCTTGTCTCTCTAACCCTTAGCATGTGGTCCTATTGTATGATGAGATTTTCCTTATATCCCATGCCATCGCGCCGATGTCAATATTGGACAACCCATCCTTCACGCTGGTGCAAGCACCAGTGTTTCTGACCTCTCTGAACCTGAACATCCCTGAAAGGTTTACTTCCCTCAGTTACTAACTGATTCTAAGCTCTGCCATGATCTAATGACATCATATCCAGACCCTGCTTCCACTCAGGTTACTGGACAGAGAGGCAGTGCTGCTAGAGAAGAAATGTGCCTTTAAGGGGGCTACTACCTTTCTTTTACCAGCAACAGCCGAACAGGATCCACTGGACAACTGATGTATGTACAATTAAATTTATTATGACTGCTAAAAAAACTGATTAAAAACAAAAGAAGTATAATATACAAACATAGATTTAGAAATGAGTCCCAGTGGACTTCTTTGGTCTGTATCCAAAATGTGTTTCGATGTATGTAACAACTTTCTCAATCAGTAATTTCGTGGCTGTAATTCGATCTTTTAAAAAAAAAAACTGTCTACTTACTGATTGGTGGCAACATTTGTGATTCCACCAATTACAGACTATGATTCCGGGGGACTGTGTGGTGCAGCTGAACATTGTTGGCGCCCATGCCTATTGTCCTGACATCACTCGCACTCTATTCAGTTGCCAACTTTTGGAACTAGTTCATTTATCACTTAGTTTCTATATTCAATTGTGTAAGGGTTGGTTCTTGCACTTGTGTGGTAGCTGCTGCAATATTCACTTGCACTTAATCATATTATATTTAAAGCGCCTTTTATAGCACATAGCCTCTGAATTTGGCTATTGGACGCACCAGCCGTGGTTACCTGGAAATAATACGAGAAATAATCCGAGAATGACCCTGACTTTTACATTTTGATTCACTAACCTTTATTCTCTAAACACCAAATTGTATTGAGTCAAAATTTGAATGACAAAATTTAGGCAAAAGTAGTCAAGTTGTGAGTTTTTTTCACAAACAGGCTATTTTTGCATACATTTTGCAATTTCCGTTTCTAATTTTACACAATTTGGTGCTTAGATTGTAAGCTGTGTGTAAGCATTGTATCCAGCAATCAAACATATTTTCTTAGAATTGTTTGTCTTGTTTTAACTATTAAAAGAGCTGAGGCGATTTTCGCCCTGACACTGGAGCCTCTACTTGAAGCTATACGAAACAACGGAGACATCAAAGGATTTCACTCCAACGGGACGACGCACAAAACAGCAGCATACGCGGATGACATGCTATTCTTCATCTCGCAACCCAGAATTTCCCTCCCCTGCCTACTAAGAGAATGCACAACCTACAGACACATCTCGGGACTCAAACTAAACCTATCAAAATGCAAGGTCCTCAACGATACCTAGCAAAGAAAGTGACCGCCTACACACACAATTCCAATTTCACTGGTGCGTGTCCAAGATGAAGTATCTCGGACTCTGGCTCACCAGGAACCCGCACGACCTAAACACATCAAATTATATACCGCTCCTCTCCAAGATACAGCAAGACCTGTGCAACTGGACCTCCCAACACATATCGTGGCTGGGGCACATCGCCGTAATAAAAATGAATGTCCTGCCCCGACTGCTCTATTTATTTCAAATGCTACCAATGACGATTCCCGCGGCGTATTTCTCCTCTCTAAGATCAGCAATAATAAAATACGTATGGAAGGGCCAAAGACCCAGGATACGACATGACACTCTGTGCCTACCACTACACTGGGGTGGCCTTGCACTCCTGGACGTGAAAAAATACCACCAGGCCACCGCGCTGCAACACATACTGGAATGGCACTCACGCCCACCCCATAAATAGTGTATTCCGTTGATGGAGGCCAGTGGAAATACGCCCATACCTGAGGCGGCCTGGACGGCTGGGACCAAGACCCCGACAGAACCGGACAGGATGTCTCCGATGGCTCATACCCTACACACGTGGAACACCATGCGGCGGGCCCACCACATCTCTCCAACCCCAAGCCCAATGATCCCGCTTACCAACAACCGCTCAATAGGGGGAGGCCTCACTGCCAGAGCCTGGGGAATACTAGGAGATCAAGAATATACACCCCTCCGTGACGTACTAGATGACACCGGTAAAAAACCACTCTCTGAACTTACCAACACCAGCACCCCGACCTTTCTGAAGACTTTCCGATACACCTAACTGAGACACTTCTACAACTCACTCCGCGACAGAGGGGTTGCGCACAGGGCCTTAACGCCATTTGAGAACCTATGCCTAACCAAAACAAATCTCAGTGAGGCAACCTCATACCTCTATCAATACACTCTCACGGAGAACCGCACGGAAACATTCACATTCAAGAGGCAATGGGAGCACATCACGGACCGCGAATTCACCCTGAACCAATGGGGAAAAATACTCATCCTACACCATAAATCTTCAGTGAGCTCCCGGTACCAAGAAGTCAACTACAAACTCTTGTCCCAGTGATATAAAACCCCATCATGCCTACACTACTGTTCGAACATCAAGCCATTCTGGAGACTGGTCAACGAAAAAAATCACAGAGATCCTCGGGGAAACGATCCCCCTAAATATTGGGCAATTCCTACTACACTCCACACCAAGACCGATCTCACAATACAAAAAATCCATACTAAGACATCTACTGGATGCGGCCAAGGCACTCATACCTGCAATGTGGAAACAAACACAGACTCCGACCAGGGACGTATTAGCCACGAGGCAAACAAGGCATTTGCCTTGGGCGGCATTTTCCAGGGGGCGGCAAAAAACGCCGCCCCCCAAATGCACAGGGAAAATGCCTTGTTAGCCTCGCGGCTAACTGACATGCTGGGCTGGCGGGCGGCACTGGCTGATGGTCGGGCGGGCGGCTGGCGAGGGAGCTCTTCCTCTGAGCTGTATGCTCAGCTCCCTCGCATGCCGCAGAGTGAGGCTTTCAGCCACTGGACCCCCTGCACCCCCAGGGAGAGAGGGAACCCCCCCCAGCATTCCCAAAGGTAAATAAAAAAAATGTGTTAATGTGAGTTAGTGTATGTGTCTGTTAGTGTGTGTGTCTGTTAGTGTGTGTCTGTTAGTGTGTGTGTCTGTTAGTGTGTGTGTGTTTGCCTGTGAGTGTGTGTCTGTTAGTGTGTGTGTGTGTCTCTGTTAGTGTGTGTGTGTGTGTGTGTGTCTGTCAGTGTGTGTCTGTTAGTGTGTGTGTGTGTGTGTGTGTGTCTGTTAGTGTGTGTGTATCTGTTAGTGAGTGAGTGTGTGTCTGTTAGTGTGTGTGTGTCTGTTAGTGTGAGTGTGTTTGCCTGTGAGTGTGTGTGTGTGTCTCACTGTGTGTGTGTGTGTGTCTGTGAGTGTGTGTGTCTGTTAGTGAGTGTGTCTGTTAGTGTGTGTGTCTGTTAGTGTGTGTGTTTCTGTTAGCTGGTGTATGCGTATCTGTCAGTGAATGTGTGTGTGTGTATTTAGAAGGCGGTGCAGGGGGGAAGGGTTGGGTGGGAGTGGCGCGCCTGAGTTTTGTCAGGCCTAGGGCAGCACAAAACCAGGATACACCACTGACCCCGACACTAACTCAATGGTACGACGGAGTGGAGGAGATCCGCTCCACGGAGGGTGTGAGGGCGTCCCTCGTGGGGCAAAGCGAAAAAAATATACTGAGCGGTGGAGGCTGTGGCTCGGGTTCATCGCCAGGGGGAGGGGAGATAGTAGCACAACCCCACACACCGGTCCGACAGACGCGGGCAAGTCCACAAGTCCTCACCCACCTGATTAGAGGGAGGGTAGACACACCAATATCACGCACTACACAGATACACCAGGGCTTGGACACACAGACCCCCCCCAAACCCGTAACTCAGGGGAACAAGGCCACAGCAACCTTGGAACCAACGGGACCGGCAAACTACACACACCAGAGGAATAAGTGGGACCCAAAGGCAGGGAAGCTGGACGATACAACCCTGAGACTCTGAAAACATACACATGATCAGGGACTAGAGAGTCCTGAGACCACACAGGACACACACGTCACAGACCCACGGACACCGCCAGATAGTCAAGGGACTACACGAAGAACATACCGCCCCCCCCCCCACGCGCTAACAGCTGAGGACAGATTGTGATCCCCCAGGTGCGCAACTGAAAAGACACCATACATGGGCGGACACTGACGACACGACCCAAGACACCTCGATACACACACACGACCACCACACAAAAACTGCCTACACCATGGCCTAAATCTATACCAAACGAAACCTGAGTCAAGTCAGGCAAAGAAACACCAGTACCCCTCACAGCTACCTTGAAACGATCAAACTTCAGCAACAGCAGCAAGAATACCAACACAGGGCGGATCATCACGCCCACACTAGGCAGACTGCAACACGGGAACACCAACTCACGGGAGTAGACAACGACAGGGAAATACACATTAGCAGCACATAGACAGGCCAAGTTAGGAGGGCAATTCAATTGTTAATATGAATCAATGCAATACATATTCATGATATACGTTGAACACTCAGTTTGCCTTGAGACCTGCGGGTCTCTCCCTCAGTTGTTACTCAGGAGATCTGCGAATCTCGACTGACTAATTGTTATACTGTTTACCTGAAACCTGCGCGTTTCTCCGCATTTCATCCTTTCTTTCAAAAAATTTGAAAAAATCTCAATAAAATGATATTTACAAAAAAAGAGCTGAGGAATAAATTGGTGCTATATAAATAACTGTAACTGTGTTTAGAGAATAAACACCGATCTGTATTACATGATATGTTATATTTTCTAGTATAAGTGAGGAAAATATCTCACAATTTCCGCCCGAGAGTGATTGTCAGCAAAAAGTCCACAGTATATTTTTGTTAATTTCTACAAATTAGCCATCATTCTGATATATTAAGTATTGCTATTCTTACATTCTTGGTTTCCCATCACATCCCCAGTAGTTTGAAAGCCAACTCATATCCACATATAGGGACGGTGGTTTAGTCTTACGGCTAAAAATCTTCTTACTAAAAAAAAGAAAAAAATATATTTTTTCTTGGTGATACTCTGTGCAGAATAAATACATACATACTGTATATACATTGGCCAACAAAACTCTAAAGTCTAAATTGCATATAGAACTTACGTTGCTGCCTCACTGAAGGAAATGGGTGCGGTACCAGGGGGTGCGTTCAAGACCTTTTGAGATCCAGAATACAAGATGTCGATTCCTGGGGGTAATAAATCTATAGTCAGCAAAGTACAAATGTATCGTATGGACAACACATCAATTCAAAATCTAGTGTGATCGGAGACCATTATTGTTGGAATAGATTAAAAACAAAATGCTCTAAACATGGGGGCATGCCGTACTAGTTATACAAGTCCCCTGCACTATCTTACAGTAAAAGCAAAATCATTTTCTAACAGTTTGAGATTGTTGGCATAAAAACCAAAAATAAGCTGAAACAAGTGTAGTGCTGTTGTAGAGGTTTATGGTGGCTTGTAAAATCTATCATCTATTAAATATTTTATCATTTATTTTGTTTGCAGTGCTGTCTCTGTGTGAAAATCTTTATTGCGTATTGATCAAAAAAGCAATATTAACAATACAATTGCTGATTGCGGCATCATACAAAAACAAGAATAGGTCCAAATAGTGTGCAGCTCAATAAAAACGAGTGCAGTCAGATCCCCATTCTGCTGGAGTACCTGCAGAAGTGTAATACTCAGAAACTGATTAACTGTTACCATAGGCGTGCGCAGCCTATTGCATTAGGGTGTGCACCCTAAAACACAAGCACACGCCGCATATATGTATATATATATATATATATATATATATATATACACACACATACACATATATACACACATACACACACTGCTGTGTGTGTGTGTGTGCTGTGTGAGGGTGCCGTTAGTTTGATGTGTGTGTGAAGGTGCTGGTAGTGTGCTATGTGGGTGAGGGTGTTTGTGTGTGCGTGCTTGTGAGGATGCTGTTAATGTACTGTGTGTGAGGGTGCTGTTTGTGTGTGTGTGCGCGCTTGTGAGGGTGCTGTTAATGTACTGTGTGTGAGGGTGCTGTTTGTATGTGAGTGTACTGGTAGTGTGCTGTGTGTTGTTAGGGTCCTGTTTGTGTTTGTGAGGGTACTGTTAGTGTGCTGTGTGTGTGTGAGGGAGCTGTTTGTGTGCTGTGTATGTCTGAGGGTGCTGTGTATGGGTGCTGTATGTGTGTGGGTGCTGTATGTGTGTGGGTGCTGTGTATGTCTGTGGGTGCTGTATGTGTGTGGGTGCTGTATGTGTGTGGGTGATGTGTATGTCTGTGGGTGCTGTATGTGTGTGGGTGCTGTGTATGGGTGCTGTATGTGTGTGGGTGATGTGTATGTCTGTGGGTGCTGTATGTGTGGGTGCTGTGTATGTCTGTAGGTGCTGTATGTGTGTGGGTGCTGTGTATGTCTGTGGGTGCTCTGTATGTCTGTGGGTGCTGTATGTGTGTGGGTGCTGTATGTCTGTGGGTGCTGTATGTCTGTGGGTGCTGTATGTGTATGGGTGCTGTATGTCTGTGGGTGCTGTGTATGTCTGTGGGTGCTGTATGTTTGTGGGTACTGTGTATGTCTGTGGGTGCTGTGTATGTCTGTGGGTGCTGTATGTTTGTGGGTGCTGTATGTGTGTGGGTGTTGTATGTCTGTGGGTGTTGTTTGTCTGTGTGTGCTGTATGTGTGTGGGTGTTGTATGTCTGTGGGTGCTGTGTATGTCTGTGTGTGCTGTATGTGTGTGGGTGTTGTATGTCTGTGGGTGTTGTATGTCTGTGTGTGCTGTATGTGTATGGGTGCTGTATGTCTGTGGGTGCTGTGTATGTCTGTGGGTGCTGTATGTGTGTGGGTGCTGTGTATGTCTGTGGGTGCTGTGTATGTCTGTGGGTGCTGTATGTTTGTGGGTGCTGTATGTGTGTGGGTGTTGTATGTCTGTGGGTGTTGTATGTCTGTGGGTGTTTGTCTGTGGGTGTTGTTTGTCTGTGTGTGCTGTATGTGGGTGGGTGTTGTATGTCTGTGGGTGCTGTGTATGTCTGTGGGTGTGCTGTATGTGTATGGGTGTTGTATGTCTGTGTGTGCTGTATGTGTGTGTGTGGGTGCTGTATGTGTGTGTGCTGTATGTGGGTGGGTGATTGTGGGGGGTGGAGGTGGGGGTACATTATTTGCTATCCCCCCTCCCTTCTTACCTTTTGTAGGGAGGGGGGATCGTGGTCCTGGTGGTCCAGTGGAGGAGGGGATCCTTGCTGCTGTGATCCCTGGTGGTCCAGTGGAGAGTGAACTCTAAACCCTGTGGGGCTAGAGTTCACTCTCGCGAGATTTGAGCGTTGCCGTGGCAACGCTCATATCTCGCGAGAGGAACCCGGTGGAGCTGCGGCAATAGCTCCGCCGGGTCCTCTCCTGCCTCCCTCCCTGCATGTGGGTCGGTGGGGAGGGAGGCTGAGAGCAGAGCCGGCGCTATGGCTCTGCATGAGCCGACAGGGGAGATCCTGAGATGTCCCCTGCCGGTCTCAATATACATAGGCTTGCCGCGGGATTAGGGTGTGCCCAGGCACACCCGGCACACCCCGTGCGCACGCCTATGACTGTTACATACATACTCCCCCCAGCCCCCATCATCTTTATATGAATAATCCATCCAGATTGTGGTCGAACCCCAAAACAAGTTTCTTGATAAATGACATTTTTGCCAGCATTTTTGTATTAAATTGTATGGTTCAAATATTTAACAGTGGAAGTTTCTGTAAAGAGAGCAGTATACAAGGTCTGTCTGTAGGAGATTAAACCAAAAAACAGGACATTGTACAGGAAAGAAGGAAATTAGAAAGTAAGAAAGAGTTGGTAAGATTGACTTCTCCCTCCGTCATCCCCAACCTTTACTTACTTTTTTGTTTTGTTTTAATTCTTTATTTTATTTGTTCAAAGATAAGACACACAGGCTCACAATGCCACAACAGCTAGAGTAAACATTATTTCAATCATAGGTTTACAGTTGTGAGGCATTAGAAAATACTGCATATTTTTATAAGTTAATATTGCTTGTCAAAGAGTTACTTCTGTTCTTCTTATTCGTGAAAGTAAGGAACAAGATTAGATAAAACAAGATAACATAAAATTAGCTCCAAGACTAAAACGTTGAAACTGCAGAATATGCTTGAGAGAAAGGCATAATGAAGATTGCTTATAGATATCTGCATTTATAGGACAAAGCTAAGGCTAATATTTATATAGCATATGGTAATTGCTAGCAAAGTGAATAACTCAGGTGCGCGCGTAAGTTGAATGTGCACACAATGTATATAGCATAGTGCGCAGCGTCCATGGCTGCTGACACAGAACTTAAGCTTTGTGTCCAGCTTTAGGTTCAACCGATCCCCATCAGCAGTAGTGTTGGTGCCCGGTCAAGCAAGTAGTTGGGGTCCCCGCAATCGGTGCCCTTCCAGCTCCCACTCGGGATACATTTCGACGTTTGGTAACACAAGTCCCCTGTCTGATTACAAATAGATCTTGGGCTAGTTGTCCCGTGTAAGGTTTGTGAATCATACGGTGGCTGGAGACTTCAGATGAGTAAAGGTGGTGAGTGTGGGGGGATCCCGTATCGATCCATAGCCCAGGAAGGAAGCAGTCCAGGGCTTGGTCGTGCCGAGGAGCTTGTGGTACTTCGACGTGATGCCGTCTCCCAGGTGGGGCAGTAATCTCCCTGAGGAGAGAGTGGTTTTGAGGGGGTAGTCCGGCATGATGCCGTCACCCAGGTGGGGCAGTGATCTCCCTGAAGAGAGAGGGTTTTGAGGGGGTATGTCGCTGTTTAGGCGTTAAGCGACTCACCGCTATTCTGAGGCTGACTTGCTGAGGTTTTCGTCGGATCGCCTGCCTCCTCCTCCCAGCTATCCAAATTTCACCTTGGCCCTGTCCTGGAGCTTCGGTGTGCTGTCCCGTGGGGTTATTGCCAGTGGGACATCTCCTGGAGTGCCCCTGTGGTCAGAGAGCCTGGCCCAGAAGTCGGCTAGCAGGCAGTCTAGCCGTTCCCAAAGTGAGGACAGTGGGGATCTGGGTGCTGGCTTGCAAGTGGCGTCCACCATGTTATGGATCGCTGGTCAAGCGGTGCAGGTAGGCCAAGTGTGATGCTGTATTTTTGAACTGCGGGCTGTGTTTACCGGGATATCCCTCACCAGCGGGGAGTGAAGGGGGAGAAAGTATGCCGGGGAGACCTCCAATTGAATAGGCTGAAGTCGGTGGAGGAATCGGCCGCCTCCCTCGTGCCATCTGAGTAGGCCGTCTGTAGGCCTCAGGTCCATCCCCTGGACATAGTTGCCATTTTCAGTCGAGAACTCGATTGTGCACTGCCGCTGTGGTACACCCCTGTCTCTGGGGCTTAAAAGCAAGCAATATCAAGGCTATTTGTGGTGCTTTTGGCTGAATTTAGGCTGTTTTAGCATGGAGCTCGTCCGATGTGCGACCGCTCAGCTTGGCTGTTAAGCTCTGGCCCGACCTTTACTTTCTTAACTTCTAACTCCCCATGACTGATGCCCCATCTCCTTCTGAGCCATACTATACTATGTGTAAAGTACCCTTGGGTCTACAGACCTAAGCGTCTCATAGGTGAACCATTAGCTCCTCTAGGACAGGGCTAGGCAACCTTTGGCACTCCAGATGTTGTGGACTGCATCTCCCATTGGCTCTTACATAATGAATAATGCAGGCAAAGAATCAAGGGAGACGTACTCCACAACATCTGGAGTGCCGAAGTTTGCCTACCCCTGCTCTAGGACATGATATTTTATAATTTATTATGTGTCATAACCCCATTAATATGTTACTGTATTAACATAGGTCATAACATGAATGACTTCCCACTGTAACTCAGGAATTTTTATTATAATTTATGCATTATAACCAGGAATTTTTATTATAATTTATGCATTATAATCAGGAATTGTTTTGCAAGTGATATCCAACATATTTGAGGTATCCATACATATAGGAAGCTTACATGCAGGTTTTATACTTGTTTTCCTTCCTTTTTCTATTTATTTAGTATACTATCTTAGACTCCATTGTTTTATAACTCTCCCCCTTTGTTACCTTATGAATTTTACTATCCCTTTTTTGTTACAATGTTTATGAGGCCAGAATTTGGTTCTATAGTCCAATTTATACTCATTATTAGGATTCAATAGTTCCACCTTTTTGAAATGTTTACTCCCTGGTTATGATACTTAGTAGATATTTACTAGACATGCCACCTTAAATATATCCAATGCATACAATAAAGGAATTTTCCCAATAATATTTTATTGGAAGTGTTTAAGTTGCCTTTTAAACAATTCCCATTCCCTTTCATATCGTATTACTCAGATATTACTAAAGTGATTTATTCTAACATAGGGGTTTGGTTTACTTTCACTCTATTTTAAATTCATTATTTTAAAGCACAGATCTACCATTCACTATTCATCTAATGCTTCCAACATTAAGGGATTCTCCAATTTAAAAAAAAAATAAAAAAAATTTGTCCATTATAAAGGTACTTTTCTTGCATATATACTTACAAGGGTTAGGCCCCTCTTTTAAAGAAGTTATCCCTTTATGAGACCTATTGCTTTTCTTTTTACCATTACAAATGATTGAAATTGAAACTCCATACCAAAGATGAGTGAAGATTTCAGCTGCTGTTAAGAACATTTAAAACCAAAAGTGTCTATGTAAGGAATAATAGTGTAGCAGAGAGCTGATTTCCCACAGCTAAACTCCACCAATATATTAAGAGGATGCAGGAGCAAGTAGTAAATCCAAGAGAATATCCAGCACAATCAGCAATACAATCCAATAATATCCCATCACCTTTCCCAATCACTGGACGACACACAGTATCAGGAGTAGAACTAACTTTTAATGGCAACATTCTTGCTTTTATGAGATTCTCCCACGCAAGGGAGGGATTCACCACAATTAGTACAGTAACTAAATCCATAGACAATTATACAAGGCATACTTTTCCCCACTTTTCAGATGTACCCCAAATAGGTGGAATATACCCTTAAATATGGTACCCCCGGTAGCCCTGAGCAGGGTGAGAAACATATCCAAAAATCACCCAGATCAGACCAGGGGTTTGGGAGTTATGGGAAGGTAAAGTTTTGACCGACCGCATGGGTAAAGTAGCCGAAAATAGTTCCATGAAATCTGGCCCTGCGGTCGGTCTCCATTCGTGCCCCAAAAACCCCGAACTGCTATACCATCCATAGTGCATTCGGTAACCGGATGAATCCCCTAGTTCGTGGGATTCATCCTACCGAACGCCGGGCCGTTCGTGGGTTTCCATCAGTGTATTCTGAAGCCCTGGAGGTCTTAGCGGTGTTCGGCTAGTCGAGTGTCTGTTTTGAGTTCCAGACACTCGACGACCAAACACCGCTGTTCGCGGATTTAAAATGGCTGCCGCAACGTGTTCGGCTGCCGAAATGGCGATCACCCAGGGATTATAGCGGCGTGTTCGTGCGTACAAGGGAATATGAAAATCAATCAGGGAGGTAAATTATATCCATTCTTCACATCAGGGTGGTCCGGTTCATTCGGTACTTTGTTCGTAAGGTGAATTTAGTCGTTCACATGTAAGCTGGTATTCTCATACCGAACAAAGTATGGCAACATCTAGTTACATGGAATTTTGTGTACCCCAGGCACAGGAAAATCTCTGCAGTGCCAACAATAAATGAAAGGAATGAGACAGCCAAAAAGGGGTTCTGCTACAAATAGACGACAGGCCGTTGAATTATTAGAAAAATAATGCACCCCCGAGGGTGTGCACTATTTTTTTCTAATACTTCAATGGCCTGGATTCAATTATTCCGCTTATACTACAGTTACCACACCTCGAAACATTGTTCAGATGATGTATTTCAAGACATTTGTGAAGTTTTTGTCATTAAAACGCTCTTGTATGTAGGACTAATTTCTTACGCAACTGTAATGCGGTCAAGACCTGTCTGGAACTACTATAGCCGTGCGTCTCCCTGAAAATAATGCACACCTTAGAACATTCGTCAACCAATCAGATTGAAGCATTCAACGGCCCTGTAGTATAAGAAAACTTTAATCAATCAAAGCATTAAGCACTTGCCCTGTTTGTCCATGTAAAGGGGAGCTCCTCCTAAAGATGCCACGGAGTCTACAAGAAGTAGACAGTTATATCTGGGGAAGAAAGTTACACTTAGATGCATTTCCAAAAGTCACCTTGATATAATTTCTCCATGGATTAGTATTAATGGGGTTATTTACTAGGTTCACAATGTGTATCACAAAAACGGGTATTTAACAAACACAATTCAGATGCACATTTGAAGATTTGCCCAGAATGGTCAAATCAGGTTAAGAGCAAAATCTCAATTCAGTGCAGAATAAATTCATCCATTAATAAAACTCAACATTTGTGCGGAATAAGTGAATTTGGTTTCAGATTTAAAGATTTCAAGTCATCTGCTTTTTTTACTGCAAACTAAGATAATTAAATAGTTCACCTGTTAAGCTATTGATAAGACTGACTATTCTAGAGCTAGTCAGACAACTTTCTGCACTGCTTATTGGCCATGTAACCCAATTTAGGGGCTAATTCAAAAGCATTCTTAATTCAGTTGCATCAGTTTAGATTGTGGTAAATTTTGAGAATTTCATCTTAAATCATTCCTCTGAATTGACATTGCTTGGAATAATTTTTGTGTCATTTGCTACTAGAAATTCCATGCAAATTCTGTATGCAGTGAGAATACTTTAATATATAAAATATAGTTTAGAGAAATAATTTATATCTTTGATAAAATAATCGTATAAAATGTATATTAAATGTGCTTTTCTTGGACTTTCTGACCAGTACCTATGACACAATTCTCCAAAGCCGTCCAATGGTTGCACCACGCCACTTGATGACTCTCCATGCGTAATGAATAATAGAGTAGGTTTATGTTCAGCTAATCCCTAGAACGAAGAAGACAGAAAAAAAAGATGAAAAAGTGGAACTGAAATCAGAAGCCAATTTACTGTTCAAGGTTACTCTACAGTCAGCTATAGTATAATAGTGTATAATGTATGGTTATTTATATGCAAATTCAATGAACTAGACTAACTTTAAATACAATTAATCTTACAATTAACAGGAAGCTAGAATTATTATTAATCATTTATATTGTTAATGAGCAGCTTATTTAACAGAAATTTTAATCTCTCGAACATCTTTGTATTTGGAATTTACCAAACAAAGGAATGACTATAGCTTGTTCTATTCCACACAAGAGCAAAAGGGTCAATCAATTCTTATAAATTCTGCACTTCTTTTAGAGGATTTTGTTACATAGTGCATGGTATTGTAAAACCCTGATCACCTTTTCTACATCCTTCAACGTGAAGGCTTCACCTGGTGGTTTTGACAAGAGATGCACCTTAGCACCTGAGAGACAGAAAAAGTAAAAACTGCATTAAAATTAATACAAATTAGGCTATACATTATACACAAATTACAAGTAATTTAGTCAGTAAATGAATTTTAACAATAAATAAATAGACCTTGCAAAAAAAAAAAAAAGAAGCCCTAATTGAAAACGATTCTAGATGCCTTCTTTTCTACCCTGCACCTACTCATTGTGTAAGGAAACATGTAAGGAAGTCATCTTTTCAAAGACTTTTATCCAATTGGGTAGACCTTTTGTTTTCTCTTTTTGTTATTTTTTTAAAAACATATCAAGAGTTGAAGTTTCTTACTGATAATACATTTTTAATGTGTAAATTAATAAATATAACATTGTTTTCATTTTATAGGTTCATTATTTTATTTTGGAAAGTTATTATTATTTTGAAAATCTCTGTCTTGTTTGCAAGCAAGGATGACTTCCATGTGTAACTCATCAGTTTTGACTTGTGCTTTTTTGTTCCCCAGTGAAGCATCTAACTTGGCCTGACACTGGGAAAAAACTTGGAGGATGCTGCGAGTTATGGCTTGAAAAACATTGTAACGGCTTGTGGCTATAATGCTGCTATTTAAAGGACCACTATAGTGCCAGGAAAACAAACTCGTTTTTCTGGCACTATATAGTCCTTAGGTCCCCCCCACCCTCAGGGCCCCCTCCCACTGGGCTGAAGGGTTTAAAACCCCTTCAGCCACTTAGCTTAATCCAGCGCCAGGCTCCCTCAGCACTGGTGACCTTTCCACCCCCTCCGACGTAAGCTCCTGAGTGGAGCTGAATGTGCATGTGCGGCCAGAGCCGCACGCGCATTCAAAGCGCCCATAGGAAAGCATTACTATTCTGCGTGCTCAATGCGATTTTCACATTGAGCGTTGCGGAAGTGCCTCTAGCGGCTGTCAGGAAGACAGCCACTAGAGGCTGGATTAACCCTGCAATGTAAACATAGCAGTTTCTATGAAACTGCTATGTTTACAGCTGCAGGGTTAAAACTTTGGGGACCTGGCATCCAGACCACTTAATTGAGCTGAAGTGGTGTGGGTGACTATAGTAGTCCTTTAAATAGAAAATTTTAAGAACTTGGTTATCAAGATCCCACTATTGTGTTTGGGTCGTAAATGCCCACTCTTCTAATTCTACTTTGTGCAGTAGGTTAGGAGGGATAACTGGATAGGGATCTGAAAAGTGTCGTCTACTCCTTCCTTTCTTCTGAGCTGGTAGGGCAGAGGTTAATGATGCAATAAATTGGCTATGGGTTCCCTAAGTTTCCTAGCTCAAATTTAAGTGGAGCAAGTGATGCACTGCTCTAAGGTCTTAATACCTTTTAACAACACACAGTAAGGAAACCACTAAACATCCAATCCTCCTCTGATAGATGTTTTGAAGGGGAACCATGTAAACTAACAAAATAAGAAAAGAAAAACAACTTTAAAAGTGTGTAATCAGTGCTTCTTAAGTCTTGATAGTAGATATTTATTGTTTTTTTCTGTCCAAATTAAGGCCCCAGCTTAATATTTTTGATTTAGCATTTCAAATGATTTCATACTTTGGATAAATGTTTACAATTATTTCCTGACCATTATTCATGGCAGCATTTACTCATGGGTTAGCTCCTCCCCTCACAGCAGAAAGGACAGGAAATAGAACTTTGAAACTGGTATAAATAGATCCTCCCCCTTCCCATCAGGCAGTCTTGTCTGAGCAGATTTTATTACAATTTCCTATTGATTCTTGTTTGGCTTTGTAAAGTCTTTTAAGATTTATACAGCTCAACAATGGTTTTTTAGGTATTAGCTGTTTTTGAACTCTGTCCCTCCCTCTATATATAATGCTTGGGTATTCCCCATGAGTAAATGCTGCCATGAATAATGGTCAGGAAAATGGAAAATTTGCTTCATACTTACCGTAATTTTCTTTTCCTGATTATTATTCATGGCAGCATTACGTTCCCACCCATTTACTATAGGAGTTGTGAAGCTAGTTACAAAGACTGCCTGATGGGAAGGGGGAGGATCTTTTTATACCAGTTTCAAAGTTCTATTTCCTGTCCTTTCTGCTGTGAGGGGAGGAACTAACCCATGAGTAAATGCCGCCATGAATAATTTTATATATGACATGTTTATTTTTATATTTTAATATTTAGAAAAAAAAAGTAAACCTTTATCCCAAAATATTAAATCATTTGAAAAGCGTATGCAACTATATTAATTTATCCAAAAATATTAAATAATTTGAAAAGCTTAATCAACAATATTAATATTCAAGGCTTCAATTACCAATTAACCATAACACACATAAAATGGCCATTTGGATATAAAAAGCATTAAAATACAAAATTATTCCTGACTTTCCAGTCCTTTGGAGGGTTTGGATTCACCAAATCTTCCATTTAATTCACAAATTGAGAATTCTCTAAGTCTGCCATTAAATTCACAAATAGGTAGTACTTATGAGATGGATTGTTTTGATCCCTCCGTCCCATTAATATTTTGACATGAAAACCATCATCATCTACTCAACAAATTCCTGCAGGAGCAAACAACAGTATCAACCCTTTTTACCGACCTGTGTCCCATTCTACTGTATGTTTTAGAGTATTGCACACAGTAGAAATGCAATCTGCTTAGTTGGATTTGCAGCTAAGGGTTAAACAATGACTTTTGTAAGAAGATCTGGGATCAGACCAGGTGTAAATCTCAAAAAGCAGGAAAATGATTAACTAATGACATAGAACATAGCACAACTTCAGCTATTTTTAAGACCTTCAGACATGCCAAACTGTGGGATTTAACGATAAACTCTGAGTTGTATAGACTAGAGTAGCCAAATTGAAGTGAAATGTCTCACTCAGGGAATGGTTAACATTTTGAAACATACCTACTCATCACAGCTCACTGTTTAGTAAATAAATATATACATTTAGTCAAATTTATTTTTTTTTCACCAAAAAGCCCCTCCATTTTTACTATAAAGAAATGTCATATAATGATATGTGCAATGTACTATTTAATGTAATTAAAGATTAATGTCACTTCCTAATATTTTAAACATTATGTTTGCTTAAAATTGAATGTAGAAATTCATACACATTTATTCTGCACCTGGGGGCCTCCATCTTAGATCTCTGTCCTGGCAGTCAGGTAGAGAAAGCATACGGAGAAGGGGAGAAATGAAACATTGTGTCTGTTTCTCCTTCTTATTTGCAATGTGTGCCCTTGCAATGCCTGGAATGAACTGGATTATTTTTTTTACAAATATGAAATACATTTTTGTCAAATATAGGGAAAAGTAAAAATAATATTAAAAAACATGGGGCGTGAAATAAAAAACAAGACTTTAAAGCAATCTCCTGAAGAATTTAACTCACAGATAAAGTTTACCTTTTATTAATATAATATTCTACCAACCACATTATAAAACTACCCTAATTTTAATATAATGTTACTACTGATCACGTTATAAAAAGACCATGTTATCAATTTGGTTTCTGTCAATCACACAGGAAAGCTGTCCTTTAATTAATGCAATGTTTCTGCCGATCTTAGAGGAATATTAGATGGCTATAAAGACAATGTTTCTGCCAATCACATAATCAGACTACCCTGTTATAATATTATGTTTCTGACATGGAAGAAGGCTGTCCTGTTGTTATAATAATAATAATAATAATATTTTTCTACCAGTCACAGATGAAGTTTATTCTATTATTATTATTATTATTATTATTATTATTATTATTAATATTATTCTACCAATAACAGATGAGCAGTAATCCCTTAATATATATCAGCCAATCACATATGTACAATGCCCTATTGATAATATACATTTTCAGCCAATCACAGATTATAAAAAGTATTTTTAAATATTCTAACAGCATAAATGTAGGGAATTTAGGAATGGCTGCTGGTTACAGAGTTTGCAAAATCATGTTTTAAATGTGAGTTAAGCTGATCCGATCCATATCATTTTCTTACCTATCCTCTCTGCAATGTCAGCTGCTCGCTCTCCCCAAATTCCTTTTACTGCAATAAGCACCACGTCTCCTTTCTCCACCACGTTAAAAAGCGCTGCCTCCATAGCACAGTGACCAGAGCCACTCAATGCTATGGTCAGGGGGTTCTGGGTCTGGAATGCATACTGTATCCCCTTCTTAATGTCATCCATTATCTGTAGGCAAAGACAGAACACGGTGAATTGACTTTGGGGCATTTAGTTATTTAGCAAAATGAAGCACATTGTGATCTCCTTAATATTTTTGAAGAGGATGGTCTGTGCCAAAGCTCATCACCACTCTTCTGCCATGGTTACATTTGATCCTCAGCAAAGTATAGGTTAGTATTCTGCCAAAGGATAAAAGTATGATGATCGTTAGGTGTTTTACCAAACTTTAGAATAGTCAGGTTTAATCCATGATGGAATAATTTTTTTTTTAGCAACTAAAAGCTAATATAAACTCAGTCCAGAATGACTTGCCAGGTCAGGATAACAGAAAACAGAGTAGTCAAAGCTAGCCAGGTTATGGATATTGAATTGTAAAATAGTCAAAACTAGCCTGGGTTAAAATACCAGGAAAACCAATAACAGTAATATAGCATGCAAGCCGTGGGCTCGAATAGGATTAATGCCCTGCATTAATCTGGTTGATAAAGATCTCTCAGCAGGTCGAAACGTTGCTTTGCCTTTTTGATCCAATAAACCTGCCCGTGGCTTGAATTCTGTGAGTGTCTGGAGATTCTTTCTGTTCTCTGCATCAATCTGGTGTTATACAAAGTAGAGAAAAAACCCAGAGTGCTTCTATATAAAGCAAGAAAGAAAAGTGCCTTGTGTAGATCAATTATATTTTTTTACATAAAAGAAAGTGTACCTGTGTGTACAAAGCACTATAACAATGATGCAGAAGTAAATATGGATGGAAGAAATTGAGTGAGAGAAAGTGCTGGCTACCTCTTACAGACTACTGGATTCACATTTATTCCCAATGCACTAACCATTTAATTAAATAGTGTATCTATGAAACAATTTAGAATATATCAGGATAGCAGATACCATCCGAGCATAGTCACAGATCTGTATCTCATACGATCTCACCTAGGACACCAGTCCTGTATCTTGTACTTTGTTTTGTTTATTTTTGGGAATCTCTTACTAAGTAAATCCTTACCTGTATCATGTCTGGGTTCAGTGGACTAAGCATTGGTTGAGCCCCAGCAATCCGGATTCGTGGGGGTACATCTGTGGGACCTGGACCAAGCAATAGCCTTTGGGGAACATGAAGAGGCACCAGAAGGGAGGAAGGGGGTTTTACAGATAGCAGGGAGTACATGTTTCCTGCACACAAGGCAGAGGAATTAGAATATGAACCTTATGGAATCTACTCTGAAGTTTATTAACCAAAGCTGACAATTGAGGCATGACATTCCAGGTGGCAACCCCTTTTTATCACGTGGCTTGTACATCTCCAATTTCTTTAAAAAAACTCCCAGAAATTCACAAGAATTTATGATGCTTTGTCCAATAGAATATGCAGAAACATGGGTGTGGCGAAATTAACCTCGCCACTTGTGCCTGGAGAGGACGGCTTGCCAGCCTCTAGCCATGTGATTATGGTCCCTGGGAGGTTTGGCCCTTTAAATACAAGATTTGGGCATAATGGATTTTTGTTGTGCTGCTGCTGGCCCTTTAAGAACCATCTGGGGACATACTGTGACTTTTGGGAACAATGCCCCTTTAAGACTATGGCCCCTGGAAGATATTGCCTGGTGAAGATCATTTTAGCAGATTGGATTTTAAAAGACTTGCTGCCCCTTTAAATTGTATTGGAGCTTTAAATTGGCACTTCGGATGCAGCCGAAGTGCCAAAGTAGTCGAAGTGGCCGCCATTCGACAAACGAACACGTGGCGGCGGCCATCTTTGTTCATTCGAATGAGGTCAGCGGTATGTGTAGCCAAATCCATGGAACTGAAATCCGCTACACATTTCAACAAACACCGCTGACCCTTACCTTCTCCTACACTCCGTTTTCAGCTGCAGAGACCCATTCGGCAGTTTGAACTCACTGCTATACTAAGCTAAATGCACGAACGGCCCTGTTTGTGTATTCGAATGGGACTTGGTCATTTTTCTGTGTAAAATAGACCGACCGCACAGCCCAAATCTATGGAACTGTTTTGGGTAGGAAAATGTACTTGCGGTCGGTCATAAAGGACTCCCAGCTAACTTTTTATCTACTAGGGGGATTTGTATGATTTTCGGCTATGTTTATATTTAAAGTATGCTGATTCTGAATATGTATGTTTTATGTGAACATGATGCATATTTTTAAAGTTACAGTATATGTATAAAAAGTGTATTTTTCCTGCCTGTGATAAATTACATTAACCCATTGTGTTCAGTAATTATATCACAGGCAGAGGGGAAGGATTGTATGTTGGGGCTGGGTGTGTTTTATGGTTTTCCTGTAAATGATTGGTTGTACTGTGTCCCCTTGCATGGGGACTTGCATAAAAGCAGAGTGTGTGTCATTAAAATCAGTCTTGTTCCAGCATTAAGCTTTGGCTCATGTGTGGATTATTTGGAGATACCAGCGATATTTATTCCTGTGGATTACTTGGTGATTTTCTTTTATGGGAAGACGGGAATGCTTGATGGTGATACAGATTACTACCATCACAATGGGCAAATGCTTTTCTTTACAATAGTGAGAAAATGTTGGGTTAATAATGATAATCAGAATCAGCCCTTGTCTAAACACCTAATATAGTGTATAATTAACCCTATTTGTGAACTTAATAAAATTATGGATACAATTATTAGTTTCATACAACCCATTATTTTCAAAACTACTGTGGATCCAATAAACAAAGCATAATTCTATCCACTAACATAGGAAAAGGATAGGTAGACCATAATTGAAGGCGTATTATTGGTCCTTTCCTAAATAGTAGAATAAGCGAAAAGAAAAAAAATCATAGTCTGGGCAAGCCAATAGCCAAGGGTAACTGAAAGCAACAACAAGTAAATGCTAGCCAAGAGTAGAGAGAACAAGGTCAAGGTCAACAAGGTCAATGATAAATTATACATAACAAACAATATCGCCAAGCATTATTATAATGCACAGATTTCTACAAAACTCAGGAAAGTGCATCAAAGTGCTGGGGCAGAGTGTATCAGAAGCCCAACCGAATGGCATCATTAATTGCATAAACACAGTGGCTCCAAAAAGTATGTATGCATTGGCACACACAGACGTATAGTTAGATGTTGACTGTGGGCATATATAAAGACAGTGCTGTGACATCCATTGTTTCATCAACTATTAAAGAACCCAGAAAACAGACAAAGAACTACAGGCAATTCTCACCCTGAGTGATGTGAGTGTTCAGGACTCATCAATTATAAAATGACTGAACAAGGATTGGAGAGGAACATATAAGATTTATGCCCCTGCACCGTGCTGCCACAGGGCACCAAGTGGAACACTCACCATCGGGGGTCTTTGCAAAGAACCAAGACAATAACAGAGCGTTATTTTAGTTTATACATATGTCATGATAAAGCATGTTACGTTCCTCGAGATTTTTTCTCAGTAGTTATTTTAATGTGTTTGGTAACCCTGTGTACCCTTTATGGATATCCTGTGTACTACTGACTGGTTTAGGAAGAGTATTAAAGACCATCTAGTCTATAATCCAAAATGGTATATCATTTAATCTATAAAAACGATTTAAAAAATATAAAATTGTTTCTACATGAAAAAAAAATTGTTTAATTGACATAACATTGGAGACTGGCCCATTTAAGATAACTGTAGATTAATTTTAGATGGGGAAATCTCAAACTGAATTGTTTGATTCTGTGTAAGGGAAGTCAGAGAATCAGCAGATTAGTTGATTTACAGGAAAAAAACAAAAACCATAATCAATGACAAAAAACGAATATTCAGATATACATCAATTGTACCCCTGTTTTGAAAAATAAAATTAATGTTGTGATAAAAATAAATGTTAATTTGCACATAATAGGCTATTGACTGGCATTCTGAGCAATCTTGAGTATTTAAAGAACGTGCTATCTGATTTCAACATTCCAAATATACTTCAGCTATTGTAACTTGTGCTGTGCTCTCACCAATTATCCATTAAAGGGTTTAACGCAGCGACAGTCACAAATATTAACTACTGGGAAGATTAAACTGTGTAATCATTGCAAGACTAATTATAGCAGTTGATTATTATCTTCTGCTTTACTTTACCTAAAAAGATGAATATTTTGCAAAAATCAAATCCAAATGGTGACAAATTAGGATAACCAATAAATCAATGTAACAATGTGGCATAACGACTACAGTGCTTAGTAGTGGTTATGGTGCCAAGAATTCCTGGGGGCAGTCTGATGGTAATCACTGAAACCATTTACAAACAGTTTGACATATCTTGTGTCAGGATGACTGCGGTCCTACCGGTCTGAATTTATATGCCACAATATCATACTACCTCATACCATGTTTCGACATTATTCATTAGCTCAGAGCCATCAAATGACTATTTCAGCCAATGAAAAATGTCAAAACCTGGCAACTAGTGTCAATTATGGAAATGTGCTCCTAAGGGTTACATTAAAAAGAATAGTATTTTCTGAAGATGTTTCCCTGTTTGCAGTTTACCAGTCATGCCAGTCTCAAACTGTTGTGCAAACTCTGTCTTAGCATCACCAGAAAAAATGAAGTAATTATTTATGATCGCAAATCATTTTTGCAGGCTGTATGTAAATATCCTGTATTCTAAGCTGAGAGAATGTGTTTTAGATCTGCTGTTTATTAAAGGGAGATTATAGTCACCAGAACAACTACAGCTTAATGTAGTTGTTCTGTTGTCTATAGCATATCCCTGCAGGCTTTTTAATGAAAATACTGCCTTTTCAAAGAAAAGGCAGTGTTTACATTGCTGCCTCTAGTGACAGTCATTCAGACTTCTACTAAAGGTGCTTCCTATCTCACTGTGTGCCGCACCTACATTCAGCGTCTCCACGCTCTACCTGGATTCCACGCATCTCTATGAGGAGATAGGTTGATTGGCGTAGTGTGGCATTTTGCAGTGCATGGAGGCAGAGCCAGAGGGGGCCAGCCAAGGCGAGACCAGCATGGTGTGGGAGAAAAAAATAAGTTGAAAGACCTTTCATCTCCACGGTAGGGGGGGGGGGGGTGTTAACCATGTATTACAGCATTATAGTGTTAGGAATACATGTCTGTAGTCCTGGATCTATAGGGTTCCTTCAGATTACCTGAAAGTATTTTTCGCAGTGTTATACATACAGCTAAAATGAAGCTGACTCATCTTTTAAAAGCGTTAATTATCTCAGCTCCTATTACTAAATGTTAGCTTGTCTTCTCTCTGTGCTGCAGGTCACAAGCAATGAAAATATTGGCAAAGTTAATAAATTGCTAAATTACTCTGCAACCATCTATGTTCTCCAAGTTTAGCCAGGATGTCCTATAGTGTGTATGTTAGCAATCAAGTTAAAGAATGACTCCAATGTCAGAAACAAATAAATTTAATTTTAACGTTAGAGTGTTGACTCTTTGGATTCAGTTTCTATATAATAATTTAATTTTTATAATAATAAAAAAAAATCTATAAAATTTCACCTTCTTTGAAATCATCAGGATTATTGATCACTGTCCAAATTATTGGTGGACATAGGCCACATGCGTAGCATCCCACTATTATGATAAACTTTAGCAATGTTTATAGTTATCATGCTGTGCGTGATGGCACTGAGTATGAAGAACTTGAAAAATATAGGTTTGAAAGCCACCAGAAGTGTGTTTTTAGAGAAATAGAAACATTGAAATTTCTCAGAAACAGCAATATTTTGCATTGTCCAAGTGAGATAGGCATCTATTCGCCCAAACTTCTACATTATGATGTTGTAGACTGTGGAGAGTGTGCTTAATAATTCCAGTCAGCCTGCTAATCATGTCACAAAACAGCACTTACCTGCACGGGGATACCTCAGTGAATCGTAAGATTCTATATTTACTACCTTCCTCACCCGGCTTGCTCAGATTGAGATTCTTGCAGCCTAATAACGGGGTTGGGGTGGAAGAGATGGATGCTCTCCAGGCGCCTTATCCAGTAGATCAGATACAGTATATCTGCTTCACCTCCCTGTTGGACCAGTGCTGGTTATCTTGGTCCCAGGAGTCCGTCTGATGCTGCCAGACACATCCCGTTCTAACAGGCCCACGTGGCTTCCAAGATGGGGTAGGGCGAGGCTGAAGACTTGAGCATGACTTCCATTGCAACTTCACTGTCCAGACTGGATCACATATTTGTGGAATTCCTGTCATGTAAAGCTGCAAGGCAGTGTAGGACACAGCCTCCTATACAGTAATTTTTATTAGTGATATTGCAGAAGGTCTTGATGGTAAGGTATGTCTTTTTGCTGATGATACTAAGATATGTAACAGGGTTGATGTTCCAGGAGGGATAAGCCAAATGACAAATGATTTAGGTAAACTAGAAAAATGGTCAGAATTGTGGCAACTGACATTTAATGTGGATAAGTGCAAGATAATGCATCTTGGACGTAAAAACCCAAGGGCAGAGTACAGAATATTTGATAGAGTCCTAACCTCAACATATGAGGAAAGGGATTTAGGGGTGATTATTTCTGATGACTTAAAGGTAGGCAGACAATGTAATAGAGCAGCAGGAAATGCTAGCAGAATGCTTGGTTGTATAGGGAGAGGTATTAGCAGTAGAAAGAGGGAAGTGCTCATGCCATTGTACAGAACACTGGTGAGACCTCACTTGGAGTATTGTACACAGTACTGGAGACCGTATCTTCAGAAGGATATTGATACCTTAGAGAGGGTTCAGAGAAGGGCTACTAAACTGGTTCATGGATTGCGGGATAAAACTTACCAGGAAAGGTTAAAGGATCTTAACATGTATAGCTTGGAGGAAAGACGAGACAGGGGGGATATGATAGAAACATTTAAATATATAAAGGGAATCAACACAGTAAAGGAGGAGACTATATTTAAAAGAAGAAAAACTACCACAACAAGAGGACATAGTCTTAAATTAGAGGGACAAAGGTTTAAAAATAATATCAGGAAGTATTACTTTACTGAGAGGGTAGTGGATGCATGGAATAGCCTTCCAGCTGAAGTGGTAGAGGTTAACACAGTAAAGGAGTTTAAGCATGCGTGGGATAGGCATAAGGCTATCCTAACTATAAGATAAGGCTAGGGACTAATGAAAGTATTTAGAAAATTGGGCAGACTAGATGGGCCGAATGGTTCTTATCTGCCGTCACATTCTATGTTTCTATGTTTCTATGTTTCTAAGTATCATCGCACAGAGGAGAAGCAACCTACTGGGTTGTACATGAGCACTACTACTCTGGGGATTGTGGACTCTCTTCCAGGCTTGTGGATGCAGGCGGATTCTGAATCTGCCCATATTTCTAGAAATGAGGTGGAAATGAGGCCCAAGGTTCTAGGGGTGCCTTATACACAATCTCCCAAGATGGACGATGTGCAGTGCTAAATCAGGCTTTATCAAGCTACAGATTTCAATTAGCTTGGGACTACCTACTATGGGACCAGTTATCAGGGAGATGAAGCTGTGGAGGGGGTGAGGGGGTTGATGAACCCGGGGGGAAAGAGAGGGAGATAGAGATTGGTGAGAGAGAGGGATATGGAGCTTGGTGAGAGAGAGGGAGATGAGCTGGGTGGGAGACAGTGAGATGGAGTTGAGATGAGAGAGGAAGATGGAGCTGAGGGGTGAGAGGGAGATGGATCTAAGGTGGATGGACGGGAGAGAGGGAGATGGAGCTGGCTGAGAGAGAGGGAGATGGAACTTGGTGGATGAAAGGAAGATGGAGCTGGGTGAGGGAGAGGGAAATGAAGCTAAGGGGTGAGAGGGAGATGGAGCTGGGTGAAAGAGAGGGATATGGTGCTTGGTGAGAGAGGGGGAGATTGGAGATGGAGTTGAGGGGAGAGAGGAAGATGGAGCTGAGGAGTGAGAGGGAAATTGATCTAAGGTGGATGGAAGGGAGAGAGGGAGATGGAGCTGGTTGAAAGAGAGGGAGAGGGAAATGAAGCTGAGGGGTGAGAGAAAAATGGAGCTGATGGGTGAGAAAAAATGGAGCTGAGGGAGATGGAAATGAGGTTAGAGATAGAGGAGAAAGGGAGATTGAGTTCAGTGATGAAATGGAGTTAAGTGATGAGATTTGAGGTGAATGGAGAGGAGAGAGAGAAAGACGAAGCTGGATGGGAAAGATGAAGCTTAGGGTTGAGAGGGAGCTGGAGCTGGGGGAAGAGCGGGAGATGGAGCTGGAAGTCTTTGGTGTCCACAAGGTGCTCTGTAATGCTACATGGCTTGGTTGGGCACTGGACCAAATTGTGGAATCCGGTGATGATACCCTTTACAAAGTATAGCCTCTCCACATGCATGGCCGCACTGGGGGGAAGTGATGGCCGATCTTTTCTTCCCAGTTCTCAGAGGAGGCCATGAGGAAAGACAGAAATCCATCACAGTTTCATAGGGATGCCACCCACATGGCCAACGGTATTCAAAGAATAGGGTGTGCCTAGCAGTGGGGGTGTGTATGTTTGCCTGTGCACGGCTGTGAGGCATGTGCATACATGTGTCAGTGTCTGGCATTGAGAATCGCTGTGCGAGTGTATGCCTGTCAGGCAGTTTGTGTAACCCCATGAATGTGTCTGGAAGTGCGACGGTAGTCACTGTAACTGTCCGCTTATTACTTTACATCAATCATGTCAAACTCGAGGCCCGTGGGCCGCTGCGGCCCACAATGAATATATTTGAGGCCCGTGAGATGCGAGTTTGCCATGATTACTAAGGCAGAGTAGGCACCTGCTCTTCTTACATTGCAGGTGCCTACTCTGCTCAAATTTACCCGGTACCGGCCGGAGTAGAGAGCTCAGTCTGTTCTTCTGCTCCTCACTGCTCCCTTAAGGCATCACTAAACTGCGCGCGTGAAGGAGTAGTGAGGAGCAGGAAGACTGAGCTCCTGAGAAAAGAGGCCCCACACCAGTTCCCAAAAGTAGGAAGCAATAAATCAAATGATGTTAGTGTGTGCAAGAATGTGGAAATGTGTGTGTGTGTGTGTGTGTGTGCCTGTCTGTCATAGAATGTGTGTGTGTTTGTCAGAGAGTAAGTGTGTGTGTGACTTTCAGTGTGTGTGTGTCTGTCAGAGAGAGTGTATGTGTGTGTGTGTCTGTCTGTCAGAGAATGTGTGTGTGTTTGTCAGAGAGTAAGTGTGTGTGTGACTTTCAGTGTGTGTGTGTCTGTCAGAGAATGTGTGTGTCTGTCAGTCAGAGAATGTGTGTGTCTGTCAGAGAGAGTGTGTGTGTGTCTGTCTGTCTGTCAGAGAATGTGTGTGTGTTTGTCAGAGAGTAAGTGTGTGTGTGACTTTCAGTGTGTGTGTGTGTCAGAGTGTGTGTCTGTCAGTGTGTGTGTCTGTCAGAGACTGTGTGTGTCTGTCTATCAGAGAATGTGCGTGTGTCTGTCAGAGAGTGTGAGTGTGTGTGTGTCTGTCAGTGAGTGTGTCTGTCAGTGTGTGTTGGTCAGTCTTGCGATGGCCGCGGCTGGACAGTGGAGGACCTGGAGGTGCACAGTGGCAATGCCACACCACGTGACATCAATATTCTCCACCTTCACAGGTTTTCAAGGAGCAGTGGGAGGATCCGCACAGGGTGTGGACGGCGCCATTGGGGGTATACCAGAGGCTGGACTCCAAAGTCGCATACTGGCAGCGGCAACGTGAGTATATGTGGCCCGTACTAGCCTTAGAGTTTGACATGCTTGCTTTATATCTTTGTTTAGCACTGTCTGCCACGGGTGGAACCTTTCTGCCTTCCTCTTGTTTCCCTGGGGAATGTTTAAGCAGCAGAGCCTTCTCCTTCCTCTAGTTTTGAAGGCAAAAAGCTCTGTGACTCAGCGTTCAGATGTAAAGCAAGCCAGCAGCACCTCGTGGGTAGGCGATTGCCACTGAGGTTTCCTAAAGTTTAAGTGCATCCCTTGGCAAGCAGAGCGAGGTACGCAGTTAAAGTGCATTGTTTATTATAGTATATATGTTCCTAAATTGTGTACATGCTGTTAGTCAAAAGATTTGCTGTGTAGTCCAAATCTCTGTATATAGTTTGTATTCCTCAGATGTTTAACGTAATATCATTGTGTGTCTGTGTGTGTGTGTGATGTGGTTGTTTGGGCTTAAATGTGTGCTCTCCAGTCTTGCTAATGCTTGCAATCAACTAGGTAGATTTGGCTGTGGAACCTTTGTAGCGCCATCTGTTGGTTGCAAGGATCTAGCAACAGCTGTATGCACTACCTGAATAGCAATGATTGCTAATTTGCATATTTGGGTAGATTTGCATATTGATAATTCTGCAAGCAGGAGAGATATTTTATATTAATTATTACCTTTCCCACCCCTTTATAAATATGTAATTATGTTATTAAAGGTTTCTGTATGTTGTCTAATGTGATTTGACTGTTTGTATTTTTATTGAGTTCTCACAGTAATCTATATGTAATGAACATATGGGCTAGTCCCAAGTAAAAATTAAGTTTTGTATGTTAGTTCCATTTGGAACTGTGTGTGGATTTTTAGGGATTCCAATGACAGAGTCTTTAGACCTTGGATAACTCAAGAGAGCTATGCATGATAGTTGCATGTGCCTTTGTAAAGGCAGTAGCCATCACTCTAAGCAGTGCTGTAGTGGAATAGGCGGAGGAGATGATACCTGCCTGGAAGAGAGACTGCAGAGAAATAGGCAGAGGGGATGATACCTGCCTGGGAGAAGGGTTGTAGGCTTGTCAGGTGGAATCCAGAAGGACCCCAGTCAAGTGTGGTGACTGTGGCAGAAGCACTATAAATTTCCCTGTTCCAGCTAGGAAAAGAGCTTGGCAGAGGTACCAAGCTTGGGGAAAAAGGGAGCTCCGTCACAGGAAGTGTATGTGTGGGTTGGTTGGGGCTCAGTGACTGTAAGGGGCTATACGTGTTATGTTGCCAGCCCTGCAGGGTGGACTGAGAGTCAAGGCAGCCCGTGTGGAGTTATATGTGGGCACCTACTGGCTGGAAACTGTACCACATAGAAAAGGGAAAACAGGAAGGAGAAAAGGAGTCCCCACCACTAGACACCTGGTCAGTTAATTATATTAGTGCTTGCATTTCTTTTTCATTATGGGTGTCAGTAAGGGCCTCATATTCAAATTCCACCTAGGGCCTTGCAAAGTCTAGAGCTGCCTCTGTCTCTTTGTCTCATACATGTATGCCACTAGTTATTATATGTTATCATCTTAGAATATATCAACCATAATGCTTTGTGTTATTCGAAATGTGTATGCTGTCCTTAATGTTTGAAAATACACAATAAATAAATAGGTGTAATATAATGGGTTTACTGCCAACAAATATGGTGAAAATTTAAGGCCAAAGAATTAAACTAGAAATATTTGATGAAAACCATGATAATAACAAATCAAGATAATAATAATCATAAATTAAATGGCAAGAACCTTTATATAGAAGCATATTTGACAAGGACTAAATGTTGTAAAATTCTCACTTGACCCTTTTGGCTCTGCTTACCTGAAACATTTCGGGGTGCATGTGACCAATGATCTGCAGGCCCCCAGCAGCTTGTATTCGTGGGGGGACATTGGATGGTCCAGGGCCCAACATAAGCCGTTGAGGAACGGTCAGAGGCTGCAGAAGTGAAGAAGGTGGAGAAACTGATAACGAAGACATGTTCCTGACAGCTGCTGAAAGCTGTGCACCAGAACGAACAGTAAAATAAATGCCTCTGATAGCTCCTTGCATCTTTATTAACCCTTGGTGGGAAATGCCTGGCCACACTGACCCTTACCCTGGCTTGCTGCTCTTTGGCATTCTACAACAGTCCTCATATCCAGGTTACTTATCTCCTCCTTTCCTCTCCTTCGATTTGTCATTATCTGTCACTCCCCCCGTGGCGAGGTCAGAGGTGGCCAACCTGTGTTCTGTAACACTGAGGACATTCCACCTGTACCTGGCTGGTGATATCAAACTTGTTCATTTAAGTAGGACATTAATTATTAACCCCCCGTGTACATCTGAAGGCAAAGTGAGAGAACACAACACTACTTTTATCAAATTAAACGTCACTTTTGGTGATGTTTACTCTGAAAAACCTTTCACCTAAAATTCAAAGGGGATTTTTTTTTTTATTTTGAAGAGAACATACTGGTAAACAATGTCGCATGGAGTCTGACAAACTCCAGAAATAAACTGGAATTTTATAGAGTGGATTATTTCTACATTTCCAGTTTAGTGAATAACCCTGTAGGATTTGGCTTCTACTGGCCAACCAATGGGCTGCACTGCTGTTGTGAAGTAGAGGCATAGTGTTCATCGTTTTACTATTCTAATAAGACATTATTAAAATTTATTTAACACTCTTGTAACATATATTTGGTTCCTCAGTTTGTATTTTTACATTAAATCCACCCCTAAAATGATGCCTAACCCTGGTCATAGGCTGATTGAATTCTATTGCTTAAATGGCACAAAACACATATATGCTTTCTCACCACATTCTGTAGACCATTAGAGCTTTTAATATTGACATAGGTTTGCGCAAGGGGCGTGCCTGTTGTATGTAGGCCAAATCTTCTTCCATCTCCAAATAAGGTCCCTAACTACACTTTGCACTTGAATTATCTTATTGGCTATTGAAAATAGAGAATTCCCTACACTTGGTTATTACTAAATAAAACAATTATAGTTTTCTCTTTTTTTGTTTTAATTCAGTAATTGTTAAATAGTTGTATAATGTAAGTTAAAGGAATGTTTCATAGTTGATCAGCCACGTGTTCTAATGCAGTACCACAAATCACAGTGATTTATGACAACAGGATAATACATAAATTTGTAAATTATATAATTTCAAATTTTTTAGTAAAATATTTTATATTTTATAAAGATCATTTAGCACTGTTACCGTGTAACAATTTCAAACAGTGCGTTCGGGATATTTGGCAATACAGAATATATCAACTCTCTAGGACAAATTAGTGTTGCGTAGCTTAAAATAAATATCCGTGATGTAATGTTATGAAAATAAAATATTTATTATTACAATTGCAACAAGCTGATCCACTGATATTTATCCTTGCCATTTTCAGATGTCACCTTGAAATGGAGCAGTTTTCAAAAGGGGTTTAATATTTTACACTTTATATTTATCCAGCAAATATTCTATACGATTCCGAGACTGTAGATGCACATTACAACTTACAACTGTTGTAGTATATCCTAGGTACAAGTATTTATTTGATATTATTGTGTCATTTTACCCCACTCCCTCTAGCATGTAAGCTCATTGAGCAGGGCCCTCAACCCCTCTGTTCCTGTGTGTCCAACTTGTCTGGTTACAACTACATGTCTGTTCGTCCACCCATTGTAAAGCGCTGCGGAATTTGACAGCGCTCTATAAATATCATAATAATAATATACTATGAGATTCATTATTATTGATCATTTCCATATTATCCCCATTTATTAATTATTATCACTTGAAATGGTTAGAATGTGCTGAATCTTTAAAGTTATTAAAATTCACAATATATTACATTACATTTTACAAAATGGGTTAGAACCCAATTTAACCCCAAGAACTTTATTTTGAGTCATTTAATATTTTTACAGTCAAACTAGGCTTTTACATACATGTTAAGAGAGCAATAAATGATCTCTGCTCTTGGGTTAAAGAAAAAAATAAATAAACGCCCAAAAAAACATCAAACTTTGTTATCTCATTTGAACCAAAAGTAAACGGAAAGCTATGTGGATTACAGACAGAACGACTATGGAGCAGGTAAGGACAGGACTAGCACAGAATCAGACAGGTGGTGTTTAGATACAAGGAAGACCAATTCTTGGAGGAAAGGCAGCAGTGACCTTTCAAAGAGACGCGCATGTTTAACCCCTTAAGGACTGAGGAAGTTGTACAAGTTGTGATCAGAACAAAATGTAAACAAAACCTTGAATTTGCTCTATATGTCTGTTCAGGCGTAATTCATCTCTTTCATATTATGTGCACCCACACTTATCATATATAATTTTGTTCAGGGCTTTCATGTCATATCAAACATTTGTATATTAAACATAATTTAATATAAATAAAATATAAAAGAAATGAAGAAATCTTTTTTTTTTTTAATTTTGCATGGCATTTCAACTGTGACTGTCACAATACTGTTAGCAGTTACTGCAATAAAGTGCACGTATTTGTATTCAGCGATGTACAGGTTTTAAAGTGTTTTGGAAAATTACAGGGTCAAATATAGCACATTACATTTTTCAGTTTATACACATTGAAATTTGCCAGACTGGCTATGTTGCCTTTGAGAACAAATAGAAGCCCAGAAATTAAAATTACCCCCATGATGGCATTCCATTTGCAAAAGTAGACAACCCAAAGTATTACAAATGGGGAATGTCCAGTCTTTTTTTAGTAGCCACTTAGTGTGTGTATGTGTATATAAAAGTACTTAGATCATATATATATATATATATATATATATATATATATAAATATATAATTTCTTGCGTCTCACACTCAAATGCTCCCAGTCTTGTCCATGCCTCGGTGCAACCTCCGGCTAATCATATAAAAATACCTTGGTAGAGAGCACTCGTAGGACTTGTCGTGGTAAAAAATATGCTTTTATTCAGCAATCAAAAAATCACAGTATGTCAGTGTCGACGTTTCAGTCCATCCGGACTTTTATCAAGACAACAAATAAGTGATATCATAATAGTTTATATACAAACAAAAATGGTGCTCATTAGAAGGTGAGTGAAGATGAAAACGAGGTTTAGTGAGGTCATGAGTGACGCGTATCAGAACACTATACGTCATTAGATTGATTACCCTGTGAGGTGTGGTTTCCAGAAAAAAGGTGAGTAAGGAAATAAATATTTACAACATATACAAAGTACAGAGGAGGTTTAAAAGATGATCAGATGATCTGTTGGTGGAACCCAGATGACGCTAATAAGGTATAAATAAGGAAAATGTCAATTTGTACGTATTAAGTTATAGGGTTAGGGAACCACCAAACATAATCAGTAGATCTAGGAGGAGAAGTCATTACAAAAGATACAACTGTAAAAGTTGTAATAGCCACAGAGTATAGTAATAGAGGATCATAAATAGTATAGTGGACATAGAAGAAATATGCGATATGGGAGATAATACCCTGAATGAATAAGTAAGCAAGTCTCAATGTATACATAAACACAATATGGGAATAACATTGTATAAAAATAAGTATATCAAATGACAGAACAAATCATGCTCATACATTATCTTCTTGGTAGGAAGCAGTATAACGGATTTTTTTCGTTAAGTCCATGTGGTGATACAGTGTCTAGAGTGTAAATCCAGAATGCCTCCCTTTGTAGTAATCTGGTATCTCTGTTGCCACCACGAGATGGCACCGGCACATGATCTATCCCCATAAAACGTAGGGACGGTAGCGAATGTCCTGCTTCCAAAAAGTGTCTAGCCACTGGTGTATTGGCTGTATTTTTAAGTAGGGCCTGGCATATAGCTGACCTGTGGCCCCTCATTTGTTCTCTTAGGTCATTCGAGGTGTTGACTACATAGGCTAATCCACATGGGCACATAATGCGGTATACCACATGTGTAGTGGTACAGGTGATCCTGTGTCTAATCTTGAATTCCTTTTATGTATAAAAAAGGCTTAACAAATGGAGACCCTGATTGGGTTTGTTATGTGTGTATTGAGTTTTGGATACACTCTTCCTTTTTGTATTTTGTTTATTAAAGATTTTCTTCTGAGCAAGCTAACTGCAGTCTAGTTTTTATCTTTAGAGTGTGCAAGGTCCCATTTGTCTGTGTTTAGAATTCCATGGCTGTCACAGATCCCAGGGTCCCCCTGACATTGCAAGAATCAAAGAAGGGGCCCAAACAGATGAAGGACCCATTGAAATCCCCACGCACCAGATAAACCTCCTGCTTTGCACCTTAAACCCTCTAATGAGTTGGCTATGTTACTTACACAACCTCTTTAGGTGGATTGTGTTAAAACTATAACAAATCAACTTTTTATCTCTGATACTAAGATCTCCCGATGAGAGGGCAGATATTCAGGGTTCTCCCTCATTGTCTACATGACCAAGTAACATTAACTATTCTAACTAAAGGCTCCATGGTAATTCGTTTTAAAGTGAATGGGAAGCACCATGTGACAAATTCAGGTACAATATGTTTTATTAATATTTGCAGAGATCTCAGGGTCAATTGACTGGAAATTTCCCAGGTTTGACACGGAGTGTGCTTAGAGAAGACAGATCAGGACATCTGAAGACAAAGCTGACAACACATCATATTCTCACAAAGGAAGAGTAAAAGCAGACGTGTCCCACCAACTGGAACACCCAAGCTGGGTTTACAATTGCAATTTATTAAAATATTAACTTTAGCATTATACTGCACTTCAGTGTGTATATTCATTAAAGGTATATTTTTACTTGAACTATTTTGCACACACAGACCATGACAAATGTGTGTAAATGCTATAACCAGCCTGCCAAGTCATTCATGCACAGGCAGAGTGTAGCTAACATCCACTAACTTTCTATTAAACACCAGGTTATCACACTCAAATTAAAAGCGTACTTCATCTAACATAACCACTACATCCCATATGGTTTGCTCTCTTACCTGGCAGGTAACAACAATCGAAACCTGCAGGGTTGCAGAAGTCAGATGCAGATCTTGCCTATCATTCACTGGCTGAGAGCATCAGCTGACCACTTTCAGCCAATGAATTAAGATTCTGTGTATCGAAAATTTCACAGAATTGACATTAGCCAAACCAGAGCTAAATAACACAAACTGAATGGGACGGCAGATAAGAACCATCTAGTCTGCCCAATTTTTAAAATACTTTCATTAGTCCCTGGCCTTATGTTATAGTTAGGATAGCCTTATGCCTATCCCACGCATGCTTAAACTCCTTTACTGTGTTAACCTCTACCACTT